AATATGGGCTCTTTAAAACATCACAAATCTAATTGCAATGCATTTCTGAGTTGTTCAGCCTTATTTGTGCCTACAAGACGTTAAAGTAGGCTACTTGTAATATGCTGTGAAGTAGCTGTTTTAAGACAATACGGTTTGAATTATTTGGAAAACCCCTGAAATAATTATGTGCCCCCCAGGTCCAGAACCACTGATAGTTGTATAATCTTCCCTGTATCTCTGTTCTCTGAAGTAAAGTTAAATTCTTAACTTAGCTTTGGCTTTTACAAAATGATAAAGTACTGATCCTTACTTTTAAAGGTGTACTGTTACTTCTTCAGAAAGAGTATATCAGTAGTCATATACAGTGCTTATATTAGTAAATAGTTTTAAATACTCTTTACATTTTTTGTGTACATTTAGTTAGTTAAGTAAGATAGAACTGATACTTATTTTGATAATAATATTCATTCCTTAATTGTATGCCACCTTTCAAGCTTCCCTCCTTATACTGATCTATTCATTCACTCCATAGTCATTATATCTTTTATGTGCATGTTAATACAAGTACTAGCTGTTACCATAGCAGCAAAGAGGAAATTATTGCAATTTTTTAAAATTTTTATTTATTTATTTTTGCCCTTATCAAGTACTCATCAAGTTCTATATATTGTCCGTTTCACATTTAATTTTTAAATCTTTTTTTTTTTTTTTTTTTTTTTTTTTTTTTTTTTTTTTTGATGAAAAGTTCACCCAATGTTTTCCCTGACATATTCTGACGTAATGACAGCATCAAGATGAAGTAGCTGATTTTCATAGAAATATACATAACTGCATTTATTTGGAAAGCTCGGCAGAAAAGAGGTGGACTTGTAGCCTTCTAGCATAATTGTAATGTATTTTTTCAAGGGTTTCAGAAAAACACAGAAATAAACTATGTAAATAGGATGACTGGGGGGGTTTATGTTTTTGGCTGAAACAAAACAACTCAATTTGGACACTATATTATAGACAGTTATGCTATGATCCAACGATTAAATGTGTGTCTAGAAACAGCATGATCAACTGAATTTTGTTATTGTTGTATTTATGCAGTTTAATCAATTCATGTATTAGATTTAGACAAATTTATTGATACACAAGGGAAATTATTTGGACATAGTAGCTCACACATCACAATGTATTATAATGACAAAGCCTATTCTGTATAAGTGTATACTGGTGTCAAATAGGGCATAATTATATAAATATATATGTACTAGTAAAAAAAAATTGAAATGTAGTAATACAAATATATCTTAGCTATATACAAGAGGTCATAAGGAGAAACGGTGCAAAGATAAAATAGTGATTGACATGACAGGATTTTCTATTACTATAATTATCTATTAGGGTGATATGTTGTACAATTGTAGGGAGTATTTTCTGTTATATAAAGGTGACTTGTTGTACAGTTGTATGCAGTATGTTATGAATGTATCTCTCAGTGTTTGAGTGGAGTTGTAGGAGCCTGTTGGAGTATTATCTCCTCTGTCCCTCTATAGTCTGGCGCAGTGGGTGAGCAGAAGTGTCCATGATGGAGAACAGTTTGTCCAGTGTCCTCCTGTCTCTGTGTCTCTGTGTCTCTCTCAGCTTTATGGTTCAGTTTGTCAATCAATTTATTCATAACCCTAATACAAGCCTACATGGCACTCTTGGGTTTCCATAGTGTTACCATGGTGCATAAGATCCGACGTCCTCCTGGCTCTTTTCCCTCATAATCAGACATACCCCCAGTGACTGCTCGTGCTTTCCACGGTGCTTTTTAATGTCAAAGTTCCCACTAAGATCTGAGACCCTCTCCAGTGCTCCCAGTGGAGGCTCATTTCACCCATCTATCTCTCCTCCTTTGTACTGGGGTCAAATGTGACTTTAATTGAATTGAATATGAGAAATTTTCATGTCCTTTTATGTAACACATGACTGAGGCATTATATAGAGTTCCCATTGAAACAGAATACAATGGCAGTCCACCTTCATCTACTTTGCTCCATATTCCCAGGTATTAAAAGTTTTAACTTATATAATATTATACAGTTCATGTCTTTTACTGGAAGGATATAGCTACTAACCCACATAGTGTTATAGTAATCTGCATACTGTCAGATGCGCTTCTCTTCTTTGATCAAACTTGAGATTCTCTGTACCTTAGGTGGACAATGTTGCCAAAAAAATCTATTCATAGATTCTCCAGATATCAATAATCAGATCTTTCCAGTCCAGTCCATTACAATTTTTAAATTATTAAAATATGCTTATGTCATCTTTGAGATTCAAGTATCACACAATGGAAGGGACTGTAAGTTTGTGATCTTTGTGTTTTCTGTCTTGTTTTGTTGCTTTTTGAGTTTCTCATAGTCATCAAATTTTGTATCCCATAAAATAATTTAGTTATTATTTATTTCTATGTATTGCCCATCTACTTTAGCTACTTTTAGCTTATGATTAGGGATGTCAAGATTGTTCAGTTAATCAGTCGTCAATCAGAACTTCATCTTTGCACTTTTTCTCCTTAGCTGAATTATATTTGTACTATTTTTTATTTTTACTTGTACATATACAGTACATTTATATAATTTTGCCTTATTTCAGTCTCTTGCTATTTTTGCTGCGTATTTAAAATTTGTTTTCACCATTTATATATTTGCTCTTTGTTATTATATTATATTGTGATGTGTGAGCTACTGTGTCCAAATAATTTCCCTTTTGGAAGTCATCATAATATAATCATAAGCATCCCTGTGTCAATTTTAGAAGCAAAAGTTATTTCAGTCCACTCCATGAAGCTGTAGTTTTCAGTTCACTCCAAAAACATAAACCTGAATGTAAAATGCTTTTATATCAGGCTCTTTATCTCACATTGGCTGCAAGTTTGTGTCCAAAAGCTGTTCTGTACTAGAGCAAAGGTGAAAGAAAATGAATGAAGCTGTAAAATTGTGATGTTTCTTCTACACTAAAATTTGATAATGTGACATCCTACTTTTAGCTGTGACTGGATTAGAAAATGCATCTCCACATTCCATCTAAATCTATGTGAGGTGTTGTATTGTGGTGCCTGCCTCCTGGGCCTCTCCAAAAGCATCTAAACAGGTTTATCTGAGGGTTTGTGTCTGTGGAACGGAATGCTCTTAAGAGCCTTGTCCCTGCTCCACAAACAGTGCAGAGTAAGTAATGCGTGACGCCCATCAGCTCATGAGTCATTTTACACTTTTAACACTTCACAGCTGAATATAGTCTGCACACGTATTCAGTCTCGTCACTTCCTTGTTGAAGCATTTTATCCATTTTGTAATACTTTTTTTGTTTGGCATAAGCTGTAGAAGTCATTTTTGTACCAATGTTATACTTGTAATATTTGTGGTTAATAGTGCAAACTTATTTGTGTTGCATTTATTCAAGTGCAGATGTTACTATGGATACAATGTAATGTACTAGTGTTATCAACTTGTCACAATACTAAAGAATGGACTCGATACTCTTTGCAGATTTTGATCAAATTATAATTTTAAACACAGAATAACAGTATTTGTTTATTATACCATAAAGTCTTACACTAGTTCTGATAAAACTGAAGCAGTAACTGTTCAGGAAAGGTCAAATTTTATACAGTTGTATGATTCTTTTTTCAGGACTGATACTTACTTAAATGAGTATCTAGTTTTGATACTAGTTTGAGAATAGATTGTATCTGATTTTCAATTCAGTTGTGTGTTGTAGACCATTTTTTCCCAAAGATTGAGTCACGACTGTCAGGTGGCTTGAAATAGATTTTTTTGGGGTCACGATCTGAATGTAGGTCTGCAATATACAGTTCTGACACAAGTTGAAATGTTAAGATATGTTTTGTATAATTTGTAATTGTTTTGTAATCCTTTTGTAAATGACTATTTAGTTCCAATATTGCTGGTTCAATTGAATGTTGAAAAGAAAAATAAATGGGCTGCATTTAATGTCCAAATAGGTGACTTATGGATCCTTTTATTGCTGCTTCAATTACTGTTTTTCATAGTTTGAACAATTAGTGTTACTCAAGTTTTAGAGACGCGATCACTCAGTCAACAAAAATAATATCCTCATTAATGTTCAATAACGGTCAAATCCACCTTTATTTTGTGATTTACGAATTATGTCTATTGACTTTGGTCACAAAGGTTTGTGACTTTTAAAATATGAGTCCCCAGAAAAAAAGTTTGGAAACACTGTGGTAGACAACCCTACAACGCACTTTGAAAAACATTCATTTCTTACTGTGAGGAAGTTCGCCTCTACACATATCTGTTTCTATGTCGTTTAATGCCATGCTGTGGAATTCTAGGCAATACAACAACATCTTAAAGACAAGCAGGTGACAATCTCTCCACCTGAAAAATTAGACTGGTTCCTTTCACTAAACACTTTTCAGCATGCCCCTTGAATAAAGTGAAAGCAATATTACTGTATTTAAGGTAGGCCTAGTGGTACTGTTAGTTCACTCGAAACATGATTGGACCAATACAGACGCTTTAATAGCTATAGCAAAAAATGTTTATGTAATTGAACCTTGCACAATTTTTCCTTTGTGTAATACACTAATTATCATGTTAATGCTATTCTTCTCTGCATTTGCTTGTTGCTTTGTATTGTGTGCTGTGGTTTACTCAGTACAGACCACTGCCCATTATGTCCTATTATTCACTCCGACTCCAAACCAGCAATTAGTATGGCTGATGCAGTCATTATTTGGAGTAGCCTTTGTTGCGCTCTGGAGCTGAGTATCTCCAATGAAGTCACAGCCACAAGTATATAGCACAACTTATTAACTCTTCTAAGCACATAAGCCTGCTTTGTGGTTTCAAGCTTAAGTGGGCTCATCCAGGCAAACTCCATCATAATGAAACAGCTCTTTGTAACCATGGTTTGCTTTCCAGAGTGGTTGGCAAAGATTGTAATAAAATGAAAAGGGAGTTTTGTTAATTGTATTGTTGTTTTTTGTTTGTGTGCAGGTACATCCAGGGCGCTTCATCTCCAAAGGACATGGTCATCATTGTGGATGTGTGAGTACACTGTGACCATTCTTTATAGGATGTTAGTGCCACCTGTTGGCCTGAAATTTACGATCTTCAAGGTGCAAAAAAGAAAATCTGAAATGTCACCTTTTTTCATTAGATTGATTCATGTTTTGTTTTGTTGTTTTATTATGTGAATAGAGCACAATTTTGATTTTAAGGTCATTTAACTTACTAGCTAATACTTAAAATGAAGACAGGTGACATAGTGTATTAAAGTAAGGTCAGCATTTCATTTATTTCTGACTTTCTGTTCTATCACTTTGACCTTGACATAATAATGAGCATAATATGGATGTGGTTATATAATTTGTCTGTATTACTGTCTTTTATAGATTTATATTTATGACTTTGGCCTTTTATAACTTAAACAAAGCAATTGCAAATAATATACGCTTACATTTTCAACTGTACATTGACACTGAACTAGGTTCAAACCAAGACAAATGTGTTTCTGTTGTAAATATTTATTATGTATTTATGTTTTGATTATGTTCCTCAAATAGCTACTTTATAATGATCCTTTCCCATTCTCATTTTTCTAAATTACACATAATTCAATATAAACCCATTAAGTAAAAGGTTAATGATTCTGATGATAGACCTGTTTATTTCCTGCAGGAGCGGCAGTGTCAGTGGACTCACTCTCAAACTGATGAAGACCTCCGTTATTGAGATGCTGGACACTCTCTCGGACGATGACTATGTCAACGTCGCCAGGGTAACTACAAAAAACACACAAACAACATTTAGAAGAAGGAAATTACAAAGCCCGAAATTACTTTGACTGTGGTTGAACCTGTAACTCAATTTATCTAAGCCTTGTGGTATGTATAATATATATAAAATCCCATTTACAATTGGTTTCCTGACTTAATTATTGTGATAGTATTGTCTCTGTTATTGAAAACCTTTCTTAGTATTGCTGTGGATTTTTGCATGTGCAGGTCAGATCCAGTGTTTGAGACAATTTTGGTTATTTTATACAAGTAAAATTTCAGTATGTTTAACTCTTTCACTTAATAATAAATAGTATGCATTAGTCTTATGGAGCCTTTCCGAGACTGGGCATTGGCAGGTTGTATGGCCTCTTGTAATCGTGTTTATTAAATGGTAAATATTCTCATTTATATTACAATTTTGTACTATTTAAGCACTGTTTACATCAAGGAACCACTCACTCATATAACACTCTTGCACCAGTGTACTCAAACAGAACCATAAATCTTCTCGTTGGAGGGTGAAGAGATCATCCGCTAATTTCTTTGTTTCTTTTACCCACCTCTGCTGATGATGACATCTATTCTTCCCGTGTTTCTAAAGCAGGTGGTATTAACAGTGGGAGTTGGCAGACTGCACAGCATGCATCAGCTCCCAGTTGTTTGCTTGAGATGAAAACACTACATTTCCCCCATTACAGTGTGTTTGCTCTGTCCATATGGGATTGTGCCTCTCTTTCCCTACACTGATTACCACACTCATATTAGCGCCACTGTTTAGGGAAATATTAGCATTAGCGTTTACAGCAGTGCAGATAAAGACATACAAATACATATGATTGGTAATGGTAATGGGGCACTGTCTGGGGACCTCCTTCAGTAATCCGTCTTAATCCATCGCACTCAGCCACTGTATGTCGCGTAATCCCAGAGCTAAAAGTAAAAAATGAGTTTGGTAATCTGACAGGGAATGCATTTGATTTTAACCCCAATATGTGAAGGATTTGGGATATTTGCAAACATAGAGAACTAATTCAGAAACTAAGCTTTAACTGTATTAGATAATTATTCATATTTTCTTTAGAACTCCCTTTCTGTAACATAGTCAGATGTAACAAAGCTATATTTTACACTTTCATATTCCATTGCCCGAGACTTTTTAATTTCTATCTGACCAATCATCTCAAATGTATAACTTTGCTTTTGGGATGCATGTGTGTGTCCGCATACTTAAAGGTTCTCAGTTTACAGGGTGTTTTTCTTACAGTGAACTGGCCCACCTCTCCACAGATCTGACCTCTAACGTGGCATAGCGGTGTCGTCTGATTATGTCCATGGAGCCTGCGAACCTTGCAGCAGAAAATTTTAATTTACCGCGTGCCTGTTTAATCAGCAGTACTTCCACATTCATATTATTCAAAGTGGTTGCAAAATGATTGAGGTTTACATAGATTGTATGACCAGTTACTACTATAACTGCTTCTCTTATACCACTGCAAAACTACTACACTGTAACACAATGATGGGGAAAGCACTCTTGAAAACTTGGGCATTCATAAAATTACTTCCATGCAATTACTTGACTATAAGTACTGTCCATTATTTCCATTTCCAGTGAAGAGTGTCCGTTTCTCCCACCATCTTAATTAATCATGCTAGAAAACAGCTTACACTTCTTCTTCACACTGAATACAAATTAAACCAGCTGCTTTTTACTTCTAAATTCATTGGAAAATATATATACTGTGTTAATGCCTCTGTGAGTTTCCTGGCATTATAAAAAAAAAAAAAAAAAAAAAAAAAGCACATCACCAACAAATGAGAAATGCCAGTATCAGACATGTTTAGTTTTAGATTGCTCCATAATGAAAATGTCACTAGATTATAGTTTGACCTTAAGAATGAAATGTAAACCTGTCATTAGCAACTTTGCAGCTAATATTGAAACGCGCATAGACACAGAGAGAATAACTTTTTCCCGTACACACGCAGACTCACACTGGGTTAGCCTAATTCGGTGTATGGGATGCGACAGGTGATATTAGCTTGGCTGGCTCTTCCCAGTTTGTGGCGGTGCGTTCAGGTGCACCTGTTCTTTGTGTGAAAGTTGTATTAGTGGTGTTTAGTGCCAGACTCAAAGTGGCACATCTGCACACACCCACGCCCACAGCCGACCCGCGTCACCAGCCTCACATGTAACACGCAAAGACATGCACTAATATAGGAGAGTTACTTTTATTTGAAGGGGATGCATTACGCTAAATTGACTTTTGTGAACTTGAAGCCATGTTATAATGTTGTTACCTCATCATAAACATACTTAAAGTTGTGTTGTTTTTTTTTTCATTCACGCACGTTTGAGTAACTCTTTATTATTAGTCTGTCTACATCTTCAAATCTCAAAATGTTCTGGTGCACATTGTGATGTCACGAAGCTGTAGTTTTCAAATTAACAGCTACCATTACTTTTAGATCAGTAGAGACTGGCAATTCCAGTACTGAAATGATCCGGATGATTCTAGTGAAGTGTGTGGAGTTTAAAAACATAGTGAAGCACTTCCTGTATCACCACATGACATCACAAGGTGTTTTCTGTTTGAGAGAAGAACTCAGTCTAAATATGCATCATTTGTGTGTGTGTTAAACATGGGTAAATGAAACAAACCACAACTTCAGGTATGTTTGTGATGAGGAAACAACTTTCCAACAAATCAGGAAATAGAATAGAAAGTGCAATAGTGTAATATGGGCCCTTTAAATTTCATTTTGTTTTGAAGCCGGATGCCCTTCTGACACTGTTTGCATGTCAAAATTGGGTGAATTGTCATGACTGTAAAATTTGATCTGTCAAATTCTAAGATACTGAAATAATGGTTTGTTAACCTAAGACTTATACCATTATTCATCTTTTAAGGTCTAATTTTCTTGGGGTTCCTTTGTGTAGTAGCGTAGTGTGATGTAATAACCTAGTGTAAACTTGCTTCATTGCGACAGTAGCTCAGTTGGCAGTGTTTGTCCACTGATCCAAAGGTTGGCAGTTCAAATCCCGCTCTTGACGTAAACAGCATTAGAGTCAGATCTGCTGACCTACAGGTTGGCAGTGCAATTCCAGCTCCCACAAATGAATGCTATCATTGTGTTCTGCAAGACACTTAACCCACCTCGCCCTCAGTGTCTGCGGACACTGTGGTATAAATTATGTGTATGGGTGAGTGGATCCTTGATGTAAAGCACTTTGAGCTGAAGGTAGAAAAGTGCTATATGAAAATGTGATCATAAGCATTTACCACTGCATTCTCAGTTTCTCTTACTCTTTGATATGGTGGTAAAAACAGCAAAAACATGTCTGTTATTAAAATAAAAATGGATTAGATGAGGCCCAGATCATTTACCATGTTTGATTTATTGACGAAGGACTCTTTGAATGCTTGATTTTGTAACATTTACTTGTTATTTTGTGCTATACAAAAATGAATTGATGTAACAGTAATTATCACAATAATTTAGTACTGATGGCCTTCTGACGTAAGCCTATTTGTGTATCCAAGATGGGGTGTGCCATAATTATGTATTTTTGTAATGCAGAATTTGTATGCTATCATCTAAACAAATATTTTTCATTTGCTCTAGAGATGTCTGTACCTAGGAGTTACACAGGTTAGCTCGCTAGCTTAGACAAACTTGCTCTATTCCATTCCCGTCGCAGCCTCTCTTTGATCTGCTGGTACAAAGTCAACAAGTGCCTCCTCTGAAACTCTGAATTCTCTCTCCAGTTCAACGAAAAGGCTGATGCGGTGGTCCCCTGCTTCAAGACCCTGGTCCAGGCCAACGTTCGTAACAAGAAGATTTTCAAAGAGGCTGTGATGCACATGCAGGCCAAAGGGACCACGGATTACAAGTCTGGATTCACGTTTGCCTTCGAGCAGCTCCTCAATGTAAGCCTTTAAACTCCACTCTGCTGTCTGTACTGTGGCTCTGGCTTCTTTACATTAAGTTTTTTCACTTTGGGAGTCATTGCAGGTCATGTGTAATTTAAAACTTTTGGTTTTAAATTTAACATGGATGCCCTTCCAGTTGATTTATCCATGGTTGTGCATCATTCTATTTCTCACGTTATTACTACTGGTCTCACTATTATTGCTATGTTTTCACCTGTATATTACTTCTATATTAATTGCATTTTATTTGTCCTTGAATTTATCACTCAACATTTTTGATTTTATAGACTTTTAATCATTACCAATTAAAAGAGATGAATGTATCTTAATGGGGAAAAAATGAAATTGGATTCACTGCACAGACCTAACCCATATGGTTTAACAGGCATAAAGAAGCTGGTTCCCTTCCTATATTTTTACTTGTTTTTGTATTTTTCATGGTAATATTGTTTCCCCACATAGGCCATCATATATTTGTATTTAGAACATTGAACTGGTTAACTAAGTAACGTTTACTCACACCACAGATGACATATTGCGAAGCTAATGTATTTATTGTGAGGAACAACAGACAGAGAGAGAGAGAAGTGGAGTGGGTGTGTGTGTGTGTGTGAGAGAGAGAGGGGGGAAAGAGAAAGAGAGAGAGATTGAATGTTTAAAATGTCCCCAGAGCTGTGTTTGTGTTATGAGTGTATTTGAATATGACTCTTGCAATGGTGTGACACTCCAGTGCAGTCAGCAGGTCTATAGCACCTAGTCCACTCCACGTGGTACACACAGGTGCTGCCTCAGCCCCTCTGCCGTATGCTCTGTGTATGTGTGTGCGCGCACGTGTGTGTATTTTCATCCGCCTGCACCCTAATGGACCCTGATGGGATGATTGATGAGCTAACCCAGTGGAGATCAGCCATGGACACTTTATATTCCTCTGGTGGGCTCCCGGGCTCCGAGCCAAAACCTGCTATCAACTCCCTCCACCCCTGCCCATCCTTCTCTCTCTATCACCTCATCCCTGTGTTCCTCCGCCATCCGAATGAGGAATAAAAAGCTCATTTAATTGTAATCCATGATCTGTGGAAATCTGATACAATAAAATGGGTAATTGTGGAGATATTATTTATCTTTATTAGGATCTTGGATTGACATGCTCCTGGTCTATGCATGTCAATGTTGTGTGACAAGTTGGTGAGATTTGGACTGAATATGAATGCCAAACATACATTGTAATGATTGGAAACTTTATTCTTCCACTGGGTAAAAATGCACTTTACCAAAAGCTATTAGCCCTTTGGAGTTTTCTGCAGTGGTAAAAAGCCAATAGAGGGGAGGGCTTGTATCCTGCACTCTGACTACTTTACAATGGTACTACAATCACAACTAAATTCAAAAGAGAATCCTTTTACATTTAAATCATGTGAGGCTCATTCTGCTTTGCTTGGCCATCATGTCTAATGGTTTTGTAATAAATATACATTACAATTGTTGTCAGTAAAAGCTGTATTTGATTTGATATTGTTATTTGATGCTTTTTTTTCTCCTTTTTTTTGCTCGAAGGCACAAACCGTTGCTGTATTTTACTCTGCAAGTCGTCACTATACCATTTGTGGTAACTCTTATTTTGAGATAAAATGAAACATGACATTTGGCACATTATACTCACTTTGGAGCAGACTCAGGAAGTAGCTACAATATTTTTCTAATGTGCTTTTCCACACTAATTATACAATGAACACTTCAGCTTTCCTGTATGTAGCCATGTCCACAAAGCAGGCCTATTCTTTTATTGTATTTCCTTTGACCTTTTGCTCCTTTGTCCTTTCACTTACGGTGTTTCTTTTTCATATCCCACAGGAGTCCAGTGCCCCCAGGGCCAACTGCAATAAGATGATCATGATGTTTACAGACGGAGGAGAGGACCGTGCGCAGGAGGTGTTTGAGAAGTACAACTGGCCTAACAAATCCGTTAGTATCTCTGTACAAACTATTTTACTGTTCATCTGTTTAGTCCAGTCATCACCACTCACAAGTCTATTAACATGAGCGCACAGAGTAGAATATTATATTATAATGATAATATGATATTATAATGATATAATAACCAATGTTCAGAGGTGAGTGGATTAGCCAAATATTGCCATTGCATAAGGTTTATATACTCAAGTAGAAGTAAAAAGTAGAGTTCCAAGAAAAATATTGTTTTGTAATTTTAAGTTGATTTATTTAGAAGGATAAAACAAATAATGCTCAGATTGAACTTATTTTCTTTTTTTTTTTTTTTTTTTCAAAAGATGGACCAAAACACCTAAGCATACCTGAAGGAGCAGTGCAAGAAACGCATGTTTAGACAATTTTATATTGTAACACATAACATGAAGCTTTTTGTCACTTGCAGACAAAGTGAGAAGTAAAAACATTTCTTAAGCAAGAGTACTGATAATCTGTAAAATATGTTACAAGTACTACCCAAAAATATGTTACAACTACTACCCAATTCTGTTAATATTTTTTATGCTTCGTAAGTCAGTGGTTCTGGCTACTTAAGTTTGTGAACCTTAGATTCTTGTTTGAACAGGAAAAATCCCTGACTCCTAAGGGTGCAGTGTGTAACTTTTTTAGTTTACCATGGAGATGTTTTTGTATTTCCTGGGCTGTTCAACAGCATGCAATCAGTTGTGTCTATCCTGCAGAAAGGTTACACAGCGTGCCCTTAAATATTGCATACAAACTAATTACACCACTTGTATCTCTTTCTCAGCTATTCAGTTTCCCAACTAGCTTCAGAAATGGCAATCATCTGCCAATGTATTACTTGTTATTGCGATGGATACTGAGCCCACTCTGTGTAGACATCCTATAGGGGTAATCTGACAGAAAGTTTGGAGGTTGTTTATAATTGGACAGAATTTTTGAATTTCGTGACACCATATTGTGTTATAATGTAGGAGAAAATAAGACCTCATTATTTCATCTCAACTTTGTTATGTGGCTCCTATTAGTTTGCCTCCTAGTGTCTGCCTTCTCACCGGACCAAACTTTTACAAAGCAAAATTAGCTATTAGACAGAACCAGTAGCTTGGAACGTTCCACACTAGGGCATTGAACTCTATCTTGCATTTATTCTATTATAGATGTATATATTGCTCAAAATAATTGTATTGTTCTTCACGGATTTGACTTGTAACTTTTTCTTGTGGTGTCACATGTTTGTCTCCAGGGAAAGAGAACATTTCATTGACATATACTGTGTCAAGTAAAGCAAGAAAATCTCCATGGACAAAAGATTAAGATTAAACAGTGGTGCCTTTTGATAAGATGATGAATTTTAAAGAATAACCAGCTGATGGTTAGAACATAAAAACAGTATATAGAATGCTGTCAGTATGTGGATGTCAATATGTCTGCTCTTAAAGATAATCTAAATGTTTATATTGTGACCACAGCCTGTACATACAAATGGATATAACATATTCAATAGCTACCGTGATCATGGCCACACTTCTGGCTCCATCAACTCCGGCTCCTGAAAAATTGAAAAATTGTCTCTCTGCAACTCTGCACTGACCCTCACCGTTTTGGTTTTAAAATGTTTTGGCTGCGATTTGCTTCTCCCCAAGTTCAGGGAGGTGTGACCCGACGTTTGTGTTTTTATGTGCTATTTTGAAGCGGCTGTGCACCTTGTGTGTGGTGTCAGTGTGATTCTGAGCTGCTCTGTCAGGTCATAACTATCAAACATCAGCGACACTACAGTAACAACCAACAAGCGCAATCAGAGATAGCAACCTGGTCCGCCATGAGGCATGGGTGGGGGCAGTTCATCACCACGGAAGCCAGCTTATGAGGAGCTCAGCCCATACCCCAGTTATTTGTCTGCCAACTTGTGTGAGGATTGGGTGAATATTTTAGCCCGCAGATGGTTCAGAAATTGCTGAAATTGCCTATCCTTTATAATGGCGTGACCTTTCAATTGACCCGTGTGACCTCAAATGACCTCGGATCGCCACCAAACTTTTTTTTTTTTTTTTTTTTGCGACATCGGGCACGGCGGCTTGACCCACGTACCAAATTTGGTGACAGTCGGTCCAGAAATGGCGGAATTATCGCGGGTGGACCGACACACAGACACACACACACACACACAGACACACAGGGTGAATACAAAACCTGGTCAACCCTTCGGGGACCAGGTAATAAAACAGAGCGTCAGGACAGACAGAGTGACTTAAGACACAAACTCAGGAAATAGTGAAAATAATCATTACTCACCTTTCGTAAAGTTGTAAATTTAAACTGCAACATTTCATCCACATTATCCATAGAATTTATCCTCTGCAAATAATGACATCCAGTCCACAAAACAGCGCTATTAATCCAGTCTGAAGCATTCTTTAAAAGTAAAAAGGTGAAAATAGCTCCTCACGTGTGTCTGTTTACATCCATACACGCAGCACGCAGATCGAGGTAAAGCATGGATCTATTAAATAACTAGAATAATAATAGAGTGAAGCTGCAGATTAGCAATAGTGACTCAACTTTCTGTGAACTTTATCTCCAGCCCTATGTGCATTAAAAATCATTTATCTGAAGTATTGCACCACATTTCACAAATAATAACACAGTGTTGACTTGATCTAAACTAGAAGTGCAGTGCTCTGATCTTTTGGACACTTAAGATACTCAAAGCTGAAAATCTCTTACGATTCTCCTTGTGTCTGTGATGTGCGCTTTTTGTCACACGTTTAAAAGTCGCTACATGATCCCGGTGTCCATAAATCTAGATAAAGTATGAACATTAATCGCAGACAAATCAACCAAGAATGCTCCTGTTAGCATCAGCACCAGGTTTGATTGACAGTGTTGCTAAGCGCCCGCCCAAATTCGCCCCTGCTAACCTGGACGTGCTTCATTTGACTGGAGCCAGACGCTACGGGTGACTTCACAGTCACTTAGTCAACTTCTTTATACAGTCTACATTTGTCCTTTTTATCTCTCATCTCTCAGTGCGTTTGTTTTTGTCTCCTCAGGTCCGAGTCTTCACCTTCTCCGTCGGACAGCACAACTATGATGTCACACCGCTGCAGTGGATTGCCTGTGCAAACAAAGGTAGGTGTGAATGTGATGCATTTGTGGTCATAAATATACAAATGCTTTTACAAATACGAGTGTTTACCATGCGTATACCCTTGATCAAGAGGATGCTAGTGCCTAACGTGATTATTGTCAAGTAGTTCACTGAATAAAATCAAGCCCTCATCACTGATAATTACAGTAATTAATAAAAGTACAATTATGTTTTGTTTTTTCGTAGATGGTGGGCGAATCAATAGAAAACCTCTCTGTTTAGTATTCACAGTCTGTCTAAAAACACAGTGCTTAAAATATTGTACCTAGGCTGGGAGGACACACTAGTTTTAGAAGGCATAATCATGTAGGCTCTGTATATTTACCAACTATTTGATCACTACTTTGTACAGACCGAGAGGACTATACCTGTTCTACGGAAGCCGGGAGGACTCATAACAAATACAAACGCCACAACACAACAAAAAGCCACAACAAACCATAAAAAGCCACAACACACCAAAAAAAGCAACACCGGAAGTGACCGCGGGACTCTATTTTAATGGAAACTCCACAACACAAATGCAAACGCCATAACACAATAAAAAGCCACAACAAACCAAAAAGCCACAACGGAAGTGACCGCGGGACTCTGTTTATCGACAGACCAAGCAACGGTCAGACAGTCTACAGTCCAATTCGACAGGCTGGCCACAAAACAATAAATTACTTTTACTTACATTTCCAACTTCGTTCACTTCTCTGTTCCTTTACTTTTCACATTCTTGTTCTTCTTCAACTTTTCCCATTCACCTCCCACTTGATCCTTTAACGCTTCGCTTGGTCCATCAGAAAGTCCCACAGTCACTTCCGTTGTGGCTTTTTGGTTTGTTGTGGATTTTTGTTGTGTTGTGGCATTTGCTTTTGTTGCAGTGTTTTCATTAAAATAGAGTCTCACAGTCACTTTCGTTGTGGCTTTTTATTGTGTTGTGGCATTTTTTGGTTTGATATGGTTTTTTGTTGTGTTGTCGTGTTTGTAATTGTTGCGGCATTTGCGTTTGTTATGAGCCCTCCTGGCTTCCGTACTGGACTATACCTGGACTAAACCAGGACAAAACAAGGATTAAATCAGGACTGAACAGGAATAAACAGGACTAAACCTAGACAAGAACAGTACCAAGAATAAACCGGGATCAAACAAGGGAAATTCTAGTTTCACCCCTGTACTCGTCGTTGTGTGAACTAACCAACACATATGTATACTCAACATATAAAATTTACAGTCCCCACAGCCACATAAGCAAAGAATGTGGTAATCTGAGGTTATAAGTCTTTTGGATATTTTAAAGTCATTACATTATAATAAACACAACTATAGACATACTTGTTTTTCAACTATCTTGCAGCTCTAATAGCTGCAGTTTAAGTATTGTTTACCCCCTTTAGAGCCCTAAGAAGTGTAAGAAGTCACAACTAGCAGCCTGCTGATTATCTTATTACCAGTGGAGCTAAGTGCTTTAAGTGTCTATAGAAAAGGTGTTATTAAGTAGAGGGTGGTGTGTGGTGGTGGGGTGATTAGTTAGCATCTCCCTGTGTTAGTGGAGCAAGTCGTGGATTACCCCTCTGTGCTATCATAACATTCACTCTGTACTGATTTGCTTACTACTCTACCCTGTCCCAGCCTAAGACAATAGTGTTGACATACAAGCCTCGCTGGAGCTGTCCTCTTGTATCTCGTGTCTTCTTATTACCCTTTTGGTATCTGCGTCAAACATAAGCAGCTGCCTGACACTTCCGCTGGCCCTAACTCGACATACAAGCATTTTAATGGCGTTACATGAACCAGGCTGACAACCAGGGCAGAGAGGATACAGGCTCATGATGTGAATGAGGAAGAACTTAACCTCCCACGAACTAAATACATGTGCTGAAAATGTTTATTCAGAATACAAATCTTCTGGTACAGTTACACTTCCTTTTCTGAATAACTTTCTTAAAATCATAATAATCTACTGTGATTCTTGATGACAAAAGTAAGGCTTCAAACTGCATGGTATTAGTGAGAAAAATGGAAAACACTGCTCTTGGGGCGATATTGACAAAAACTAATCTGCCATTTTTTAGTTATCAGAAGACATTTTGGCATTTCAACTAAAGTGTTCTAAAACATGTTCTTAAATGTGTTGGTTGAGTTTTAAGTATCATACAAATGGGAAAGGGCTGTAAAATTGCATGCATTGTAATATATAATCATTTTTGCAAATATTTAAAATGGCATTCTTATTTTATTTATGCAAGGACAGCACATATTAATACAGATTGTTACTTTCCATCTCAATCTCTCAACAGGTTCAAAATTCAAGATATTATTGATCATTTAAGGTCAAAGATTAGTTATAGAGTAGGTTCTACCAATCACAAAGCTGCACTGTTAAATTAGATGAGTGAAGGCACATGAAGTGTCTTGCTCAATGATACAACAATAGAAATGCACGGTTTGAAACACCAGCCTTTAAAATTTAGAGCTTTACCAAGTGATCATCCTCCATTAAATCCTTCATCTCCTTCTAATACAAATTACTCTTTTGAGAGGAGCTTACAAATATAAAAACAACTTATTCCTTCTATTAAAAGACTCGTCAAATCGAAGCACATCCCCCATACAGACAGGCGCTTTGTTATTCCTGATGTTTTATTTACACTCCATGTTTACACTCCCTGTGCAGTACATGTCATGTCTCTGGCACAGCACCAAAAGCCCAGGGACACACCGCCGCAGCTTTGAACCAAAACAAAACAAACGGCTGTTACCTGGGTGCAGCCGTTATCATTAGGCCTCTCGTATCTGCATGATGACAGCGTCTGTGGAAATCTGAAGGCAACACAAACCTGCCGTGACAAAGTTCATAACGTATCGAAATAATGAGAGTCATCGCAGCCTTTTAACATTCTGGGGATGCGGACTCCATTTTGCGGCTCTTTGTATAAACACTTATGGCTTTAATAAGTTGTGGAGCAGCGTGGTTATTGACCCGGCCGCTCGCTCTCCTCCATTCCTAATCAGCAGCAGCAGCGCCGGGGCCCGGGGCTCTGCATCGCCAATGAGCTCCGCATTTACATCCTGCACCTAGGGGAGGGGGAGGAGAGGGGGAGGGAGGGGGAAAGTGTAGAGGAAGGGGAGAGAGGAGAGAAGGAATGGTGGAGAGGGGGTGAGAGGAAGAAGGGGAGAGAAAGAGGCAAGGAGGAGTTAAAAGAAGAAAATGGAGGAGGGAGAAAGGGGAGTGGAGGTGAGAGAGGGGAGGAGAGGGAGAGAAGTGGAGAGTGGGCGGAAGGGGAAGCGTGGATAGGGGCAGAGAAGGGGAGAAAAGTGGGGAGATGAGAGATTGGAAAAGGATGATGGAGAGAACGACAGAGAGGAGAGGGAATGGTGGAGAGGGGTAGGTTAGAGAGGGAAGTAAAGGAGAGGGGGAGAGTGGAAAGGGGAGTGGGGAAGTGAGAGAGAGAGAGTGTGAGAGAGTGGACAGGAGGAGAGAGAAGAGAATGGTGGAGAGAGGGAAGGAAAGAAGAGAGGAGAGAGAGGTTAAAGAGTGAAGAGTGAAGTAGAGGAGAGAGGGAAATGAAATGGAGAATAAGAGAAGGAAAAGGAGAGAGAGAGAGAAGAGAGGAGACAGAGGTTAGAGAAAGTGGGGGAGAGACAGCAAAAGGGGGAGAGGAGGAGAGGGAATGAATGAGTGGAGAGAGATGGGGAGTTGAAAGAGGGGAGATGGAGAGAGAGAGAGTAGGGGAATGGAGAGGAAGAGAGAGAATGGAATGGTGAAGTGAAGTAAAAGAGAAAGTGAGAGATGAAGAGTGGGAGGTGAGAGCAGAGAAAAAGGAGAGAGAGAGATTGGAGGGGTGATGAAGGAGGGAGTGAAAAGAGGGAGAGAAGTTGAGGTGAGACAAAATTGGAGAGGAAGAGAATTGGTCGGGAATGGAAGAGAGAAGGAAAAGGAGGACGAGGATACAGCAGAGAGGAGGAGCAGATTATAGGAATTATAGGAGCAGGAGGGTTGAGAGAAGAAGAGAGAGGAGACAAGAAAGGGAGTCATGACATAAGATCTATGTTAGAATAACATCAAATTAAGATAATTAATGGAACATGACTTTTTATATTCCTCTTAACCATTATAAGCGGGACATAATTTAAACTAGAATCACTAAAATTACCAGGAAGGAGAAGGAATAAAACCATGTCTGAAATTTTGTGTGTTTACATAATTGAGTAAGCATTCACTTGTAAAACCACTATTATTAAATTACAAATATGTTGTAATAGGACATAAAGACATTGCAAATCCCATAATGTGAATATAAGGCCTGATAGTTATTCTCCAAAGATTTTTTATTCTTTTCTTTTCTCTTCCAGGCTACTACTTTGAAATCCCATCGATAGGCGCCATCAGAATAAACACGCAGGTAAGGTTTATAGATTGTCTTCAGTTCCTTCAAAATGGTCCAATCACACAATGAGATGAGGTGCAATGATTCTGTTCACTCCTGCTTTGATGATAATTACTTCAGATAGCCTGCACGCCCAATGGGAAAAGATAACCGAAGCAACGATGTATGAGATATTCTTGGACATGACTGGTCACCTGTAGCCTCTAGCCATGCCACCCTCTGCGCTAGCTTGCTCGCTGTAGGTGCTATAAACGCTACCAGTGGCCCTTGGGATAACCTTACATTGACTGTGTTGACAATAGTGGGGGGTTGGGTGCGCACCTTTTCCTGCCTCTCCCCCCTCCTCTCCGGGAAGAGCGAGCGATCAAGCTTTCGAATAGACTGTCAGCTGTTCCATTAACTCAGGCATATTTATATTCTGAGAACTGCCACTTACTCTAATAGGTTTTCAGAAGGTGGGTGAGTGCGGCGTTTTGTATAGAGCCAAGAAGACATTTGAAAACCCTATGTTATTTAAAAGTACACTGCCCTTCAGTGGAGCGCTCTTGACTTTTTTGCAAAGGCTCGGCACGAAACATGTAAATAGCAGATGGGGCGCAGATGGGTGTAATATCATTCGCACGCACACAGAATGCAGTGGAGAAGTGACGCTTGACTTGTGGTTTTCAGAAAGACACATCTTTGTCTTTGTTTGAGTACAAATGTTAGATAATGAATGTAATTGTTTATGCAACTCCTATAGCATTAGAAAGAATACGATTTGATTTGTGTTAATGTTGTATTTTTGATAAACATATTTTGTTCACTGCAAATGACATCACAAGAGACTGCTTTATTTAGGGGAGATGCATACATAGTCACAGGTAGAGCATGTAGCTGTCTAAACGCATATTCATATATCACGATATCAAATTTTAGACAAAACTTTGCAATTTTACATTTATGCATGATTATTGACAACATGACCAAGCAACAATGAAATCTTTAATTTACCTACATTCACATTGTCTAATACATTTGCATTTGTCTAGTTAAGTATGTGAACAACTTAATGAAATAAAATCTGTGTTATTGTGACCAACCAAAAAGCCCTTTTTAGCCTTTTACCATTACGTTGTGATCTGAATAATCATGATTATTGATCGAGTGTGTATTGCTGATCTCAAAACATTACTTTTTTCTTGATTCAAGTGCCATTTTGAGAACTTGAGTTGCCATTCAAAACATAAGTAAAGGGTTTCTGTGGTCACAATAGCATTTCTGTGTCTCTCAATAATACTAGACTTAATCTAAGGCTAATCTTGCTAGGTAGTAGTGACTCATTACAGCAGTGTTAATACCAATAATTATATAGGCTACTTATCCTCACATATAAGTCGTGACTTTTTACATTTGCTCAATGGTTCAGGTCGGGCAGAAAATTTCCTTCGTAGCCCGTGAAAAGGTCTGGCTGTCATCGTCCTGATGGAATATCTCCCTGTGGCGCGTTAAACTGGACTTTTATTGAGCTAATAATAGAATAGGTTACGCCTGTCAGCACCTCACTGCTCTGCCCATGAAAAACAAACGCTCAAAAAACTAATGCTGGAAATGACTGAGCTTAGACCAGCTCCCATTTTGTTAGCCAGGGATAAGTGTTCAAAAGGTTATGATAAAGAACATTTATCATCACAATGTCTATGGTCATTTCAACTATAATGGATCAGAATCCTAAGAGCTCAGATTTGCAATAACAGCTGCAAAATGCATATGAAGTTATTGGCAGTTAGTGTTTTTTTGTTTTTTTGTTTTTTTTACACATTTCCACTAGAATAATCTTTTGAGACAAGACTGGTTTACCAACTGCTAAACTAACACAAGAATCTGGTGCATTTCAGATTATGTTTGTAGATCAATAAACTACAGAGTGGGAGTCGTAGTAGAGGTCTTTGTAAAAGGTTCAAATGAAGAATGGTTATTTTGTTGTTTGCAGAGGTCATCATCTTACCTAAATTACAGCCTCTTTCAAATGGCAACCATTTAATTCTACCAGGTACCTTCAGTGTTATGGGTTTTATTGATTCTTAAAGTAGACTTTTAATATTTAGTAATAAACTATAACATAGGTCATTATTTAACATTTTGAGAGCTGTAAACAGAAATATTGATCTAAAATGGCTTAGAATTTGGCCCATTGACTTCTTGTTTTTTGTTTCATTCTTTATTGTTGATTGTGGGTGGGTATGGGGGTAGGTGAAAACAGAAATTTTCTGAGCACTCAAGCCTCAAATGCAGGACAATTCAGGATTTCTCAAACATGCATGAATTAACCAGCATAATCATGAGGGAACACCATTAGAACATGGTTAAAAGCTCCATAAAGTTGATTTTGCATAATATGTCCCATTTAAAGGTTTGTGATCTCACATGCTCTTAAGATGAGCCAAACTAAAAACCAATGATGATTTTTCAAAACTTCTGTCCTTTTTTGTAAATAGTACATTAATATAATAATACACCCCCTGAAGCACCTCTCTAATCAAAATGCCCAGTCAATAATATTACCAATTACATGTCAATTCATAACAACACAGGTCAATATGTAGTTTACCCATAAAGACATTTAATTCGTTTTCACATAACAATGGATTTGGTTTATATGATATATGACTGGTGGACTTAACCCCTCACCTCCATTCAGTGTCACCGCGGGACATGCTCAGAATCAGTGTTGACAGTTGGGCTCGTGGGAGAGGGCCCTGTTTGCACATTGTAGCATTGACACTCTTAATGTGATTTTAATAGCTCCTTGGTAATGATGAAAAACAGCCCATAGTGGATGAGGGCTGTGGGGTTTTTGTGCTCAGTGGGACCAAGGCTGTGTAGCTGCTGCTTTACATGGAGGATGGTCAGGCTTTGTAGTTTTATGATATATTACCAACGGTCACAGAGCACTGCTTTTATTCTAGTCACAAACATGGCAAGATGCATATATTATTGAGTAATTATGTTGGGTGCATGTCGATGTAAAATGAATATGTGTACAGGTGGAAAAATTGACAAAATAAGAATTAATTTTGTTGGATTTACAATGGAAACACAATGAGATTATATTTTTGAAATTCTTAAGGAATATTCTTAAATTATGCCTGGGCATATGTCTTGATTGAGGTTCAAATAAGCAATGTAAAGACCAGATACACACATGCAGAAATCATATTGTGAGTTTTTAAAGACTACATCCTCAATATTAGAGTTTTACATATCTTTATATTCCTTTATTATAATATAGTCATATGGTGTTTTGTGTATATTTATGTATATTTATGTATATTTTAATAGCACGTGTATTTGATATCATTAACTGATTTCATGGGCATAATTTCAAGACTTTGAATACAGCTTATTTTCCCTGTAGTGGGATTTCAAAGTATTGCATTAGACAGGTTTAATTAAGTTTTAATACTGTGTATTTGTAATAAGAATTTGCATTTCAAGTGGATATTATTGAAATGGTGACAGTGGTGTTGTTTAACAATGAAGCTATTTTATTTAGTTTATTTAGTCTAATCATGGCTAGAATGGCTCATATAGCATACTGCACTGGTCAGTATGTAATTTAACTCTGGTTATATTAAATCATTGAATTTTCTTTTAGCATTGTCCAGTACAGTTTTATTTTTGTAATTTTATTTTTGTTAATGATGATATATTTCCTGTTGTAGGAGTATCTCGATGTCCTGGGACGGCCCATGGTGTTGGCTGGACCCAAAGCCAAGCAGGTCCAATGGACTAATGTCTATCAGGACGCGCTGGTGAGGCCCTATTTTATATTTCTTTTTTTAATTTCAATTTGTGAATCCTGACATTTTAATGTTTATATGTTTATGTTTTTCCAATTTGTAATACGTATTCTATGCAATTTAGGGTTTGGGTCTCGTCATCACCGGGACAATGCCTGTCTTCAATCTGACCGCTGATACCGCCAGTTCTCAGGTATAATATGTAAAACGTTAATGTTCCTTTCTCCATTTTCTCTCCTTGATATTTAATAGCTCCATAATGTAGAGATAAAGTCTGCTAATCATTTCCATTCCTCATGTCATTTGTAATAGCTTTCAAATGACCACTACCCTTTAAGGCAACACCGCCCCCTTGAGGTCACACAAAATCATATTCTCTAGACTTATCATAGCAATGCATCCAGGCATCCCTCCCTCTCCATGACCAAACTATTTACTTTAGTCTTATCACCAGTTTTAAAAGCACTTATGGCCTCTGCAAGCCGTCTCAGCTAAAGATAGACTCTAAAATATGGAGTAATCAGATTGCACACATACTAAAGATAAGAAAAGATGCATGAAGGTATTTCCTGGCTCCTCTGCACATGTCTTTGTGAATATTTATACTCAGAGTGTTGTGAAATGTAAATTATTAAAATGGCTATTATTGTTGTTGAATACGTTTCTGTAGAGATTTTTACGCTTGCAGCTTAGTAAATCCATTCTATAAGCCTAAAATTGTGCAACAGTGGCTACTGTATACAATAACTAGACACGAAAACGGCAATACATTGGCATAATCTCTAATTTACTGGGAATTATATAACATTCACATACAAAACATCAAAGATGTTTAGGAAAAAATAATGGAGAATTGCCCATTGGCCCTATAACCAACATGTTTCTTTACATTTTAGGGTTGTGTTTCGTTTTCCCATTTTTCTCATCTTGAGTCTGATGTTACTTGAATAGAAAGTACTGCAAAATCCCACAGTACTTCTATCGCCAAATATTCATGTACTAGTGAATTAACAATTTATGCATTATGATAGTTTTAAAACTAAATTTTATTTTATTTCCTAAATCCAGAACCAGCTTATTCTTGGCGTAATGGGAGTGGACATAGCAATAAATGAAATTAAGAAGAAGACACCAACCTACAGAGTAAGTAAAATGCAATATTGATTAGATACAAAAACATCATTGAAATATTATTGATGTTAAAATGTAATTATATTGTACAGCTTGGAGCCAATGGTTACACCTTTGCTATAGACCCAAATGGTTATGTATTACTTCATCCAAACCTAAGGCCAAAGGTATGTATCTGCATTCATTATATAAGCAGGATTTGAGTTTTGTTGAAAACTCACTTTTCTGTCTTGTTTATGTCTCTGTCCAGATCATTAACTTCAGGGAGCCAGTCACTTTGGACTTTCTGGATGCGGAGATGGAGGACAGCAACAAGGAGGAGGTACACAGGCAATTTAGCAAAATTTAAAAGTTATTTTATTAGTTTTAGTTTTATTCTAGACTGCAGAAATCTTCAACAGAAAAACAGAATGTGAACAAAGCATTATGCATATGTGTAAAGCTATAAAGTTCAGTTCTAGTATATTTAAATCCTTTTATTTTTTGATAATAGTACGTCTTTTGCTATGAACAATATCTTTTAGTAATAGTCTGGACCTCTACAAACATGTTCTGAAATCCATGAGATTCTTGTAGTAGATTATCAGTTCATATTTCAATTTCGAGCAGCCCTGGTTCTATCCCTCCTCACATGCTAAACCTCACTCTCTATATTTCTTTTTTCCAGATCCGTCGACAGATGATTGATGGCAGATCAGGGCAAAGGAAAATCAAGACGCTCATTAAATCAGTTGATGAGGCAAGTCATCAATATATGAGTCCCAATCAGGAGCCCGAGTGGCACCTTCCTGAATGTGAAGCAGTGTAGCTCTAAAATAACCAAATGTGTTTGTCAGAGAATGTCAACCCTTCTTTATTTTATGTGTCATTTCCATAGAGATACATCGATGAGTCTTTGAGGACGTACACTTGGACTCCAGTAGAGGGCACCGATTACAGGTAAGCTCAAATATACTGGGGTGGTGGCAAAGTGGTTAATAATTCCCTTTAATCTATTTCTAAAAAAAACAAAGGGAGTTTTGACCGATCCTTGCTCATGACCTGTTGATGGGTCAACCACGGGCCTAGCTCATGAAAGTTTGCTATTAGCAGCATAGAATGATGGGCCAAATGCAGAGGATAAATATTCTTATGAGCACAATAAAGGGTATCTTCTCCTTAGTAATAAGTAAAGTAGAAAATCAAGTATAAAGTAGTTTGGATATGTTATACTCATTAGAAAGGAAAAAAGGAGCTATTCTATCAATAGCACATGCTGTGTTCATACTTGTTCTGGTTTGGTCCTCATTTGAGACCAGTTTAGTCCTAATCTAGACTTTGTTTTGGTCCTTTTGTGAGATAGTTGAGATAAGGTTACTGGTTCTGCTTTAGTTCAAAATACAGTCCAAATTTTAGTGTGTTGTATATATGCAAGTGTACCCACCCATATTTAACTAGTCAAAGAAGTTACTAATACCTACCATAACTATGTGACTGGAATGAGTAGCGTGGGTTACATCAGTATTATTAGTGCATATGAAAAGATAAATGGTTTTACTTTTTGAGCTGTCATTCTAACAGAGATAAGAACCCATTAACTGATACCACCAAAACATCCTTGTGATCTTTAGTTACCGCTATCACTGTCATTTGTAATGCATGATTACAGGACAAGTTGTATCTTATTAGCATTTAATAATTTATCTAAAATACTTAAATTAGAGCCCATTACCCCGCGCGCACTCACCACCCAGACTCCAAGCACAAATTAATTGCTAAGTTTATTCATCTCAAACTTGGTTGAACATTTATGGTTTCATTTGAATGTTTCCTCTGGGCAGCACGTTGCAAATTACAGTTTATGAGGCGGTCTCTACACTTCGTGTTAATATTCAAACTTCCAGGAATGTATTAGTTTTGTGGCCTGCAAACTTGCATCTAAAGTACATGTTTAAACTAAAGAGTCACTCTCATTTGCATGCTGCGTTTAGCTCTATAGATTGTTGTTGATATATATTTACTTTCTAATCATTGAGTGGCATGCATATTTCTGTGTTAAACATCACATTTAATCAGTTCAAATGTATCCCCTTAGTGAGTTATTTTGGGGCTTTGGGGATAAGTTCAGCATTTTGTTTTACAGGGACTAATTATACTGTCTGTATTTAGCCTCTCAATCCACTGGAAACTACAAATATTACTGATGACATGCATGAATAATAGAATGTGAATGATGCAAGTGGTGTAAACAAAATATTATTTTAACAGAGTGATTAGCTTGTGGTATAAAAGTGAGAAGTTTGTTTTCTCTATACAGAATCTGTCTGTCTAATCTGACTAATGAATTTGACATTGGCTACATTAACACAGATTTGGGAATTTTGTTGCATTGTTAGTATCTCATTGAGTGGAAAAAATGGTATGCCTGACATTTTACAACATCTTACGAGTCAAAGAGTAAAAAAGTGGTGGGCATTTATACGTATGTGGTTACTTCCTTTCTGTAACTTGTGGTACTCTTGTGCTGGCAGTCATATCCAGTGCGGGGATATACACATGATATTTGTATTACTGGTATCCCAAGATATCGACAAGTCCTAAAAACAACTGGCTTCTGCTTTCAGACAGATATTATATTCTACACTCAAGTTAATTTGTTATATTTTTCTTTTTATCTGTCTATTTTCAACAGAAATTTTAAATAAATAAATAATTTTCACTTCAGTTTAGGGTTGGTGCTGCCCACTTACAGCGAAAACCACATCAAGGCCAACCTGAGCGACCAGATTCTACAGGTGCAGTGTAAGTACCCGCTACAACACCTTCCTCTCTCTATTCTCTCTCGCTCTCTCTCTTTCTCTCTCTTTTTCTCTCCCTTCTTGCTTTCCTCCCTTCTCCTTCTCTATTTCTCTCTGCTCTCTTTTTCCTTTCCAATCCTTTCTTCTTCCTCAATATAACCTCCCAGTATCCAGTCTATGAAGTCAACATCAACCCTGGACCTTTCCAAGTGGACATTTCTGCCCCTCTTTTCCAAAAACTGCCCCTCTAGTACCGCCCCACCAGTGTTCGGGCCAATACCTCTACTGCCCCCTGCTGTTACCCCTCTGTCTTCATAGTGTGCTGTTAAAAAGGTGATGTTTTTTCTTCACATTGGCTGAAGACAAAAACCACTGCAGTTATAGAAAGGTGAAAGCTACGGACTGTAACCCGGGAGAAAATAATGGTGACTTTTTGTACTATTATTTTGTGTTGACCAAATGCTCTCGCCTCTTCTCAACAAACAACAAGCAATGATTCTGAAGCAAAATGTCTTAAATTTGATGTCTGAATACTTGTGAAAAATGCATGCTTTTCACTCTGTTATAAGTTAAATTATTATTATGTCTGTCTATGTGTAGTTCTTTTCATATAGGGATTGTACGGCTTTGGAATCATTCTATTGTAAACTGGCACATTGCTGAGCCCAGGGCCTGACCAATGTGCCAGTTTTGTTTTATGAATGGGGACTCTTGTGTCTTTTTCATAATTGTCTGTCTGTATTTTCCTAATTTCCTTGTTTATTTGTCATTTCTTCACAATAATTCTTTGTTATTTTATCATGATAATACTTTTCAGTTTCAGTAACTGTTTTTCATTTGTCTTGTTTGACTGACTTACTTTTTTTTTTCAAGAGAAACAATATTTTTATTCAAAGAGTGAATTGAATAAAATATTGTCTGTGATCCCTCCTCCCCTTGGTTCCCCTGTTTCTTCTCTTGCTCCTTCTCTGATGGATCCACACAGTTTCATACGTCAAGGGCAAGTATATTCCATATTGGTCCACGTCTCCTGTTATACCCTGATATCCCCCTCCCCTCGCTGCCTCTCACCCCTGTGGTCTTACCCCTCCTGCCCCTCCCTTACCCCAGCCCTCTCCCACCCCATCCTGCTTGCCTCTATATCCCTGCCCTGTCTTGGACTTCGGTACCCTTTTTATTTCTCTCTTCTTCCTCCTCCTCTTCCTCACCCTTTTCACTGCAGCTCAGATCCCACATTTTCCACAATGGCTCCTAACTCCCTCCTCTGCTCCAGATGCCAGTAAAAATCCCAAAGAAGACAGATACTTGTGTCTTTGTTCCTCTGCTCATGGTTTCCTCCTGTGAAAACCTCAGAGTGGGTTTTGTCTGCCTTCTTTTCTTCCTTCACCTTCCGCTGTTATCCAAGATATAAGTTTAACTGATGTTTAGTAGAGTGTAACATCTGTCTGTATAGCAGGTAGCTGGAGCTCACATTATAGTACAGAATATGCCCATCTATTTTGTTTTACAGTTCAGCAGAGCTTAGGTGAATGTTGTCATGTATTGTTCAGAAACCCTTAAAATACCAATAATTCCCAAGAAGCAAGGTGTATAAAGTACTCAACATGCACAACATGCTGTTGCAAAACAGAATGCAGCCAAGTGACTATACTATATATACTATATATACTATATTCATGTCCTTTCATGTTAGTAAAGGTCATATATATAGGAGTATTTATCAGTAATAGAACAAACACAGAGGGTCTCCTCAGGGCTGTGTCCTGCCCCCTGTCTTCTCATGTTTTAATGTATCATTTACGCATACTTACTATGACATCTGTAGTATATTTGCACAGAACAATAGGTCATATGTAGTACAATAATCAGTATTTGAACAGACACAGACTGCTCTCCTCAGGGCTGTGTACTGCTGCTGTCTCTCTCCTCTCAGGCCCCTCTGTCCTGTCTCCATCAGCTTGTCTCCCCTGCTCCCCCTTCAGACCTCCAGGGGTCGGCTCCACATTTCCTCTAACCTTTGACCCTGGATGTGCACAGCATTGTGGGCGGAAAACTACCTGGGCACAAGAATTTTAGCCTTTCATGTTGATACACAGTTAGGTCCTGACATTACGAGAGAAAGGTTTAATGTTCATGTTTTACTCTGTGACGTTGCCCCAAACATGCCCTCTACAATGCAGTGCACCTCCTCTGATTGAGTCTGTCCTGCCCTCGCCCCTGTCAGTCTGAAGGGGGACCCTCACCTCCTCCCTGCAACTGTCGGCCATTTTGGTGCCAATCTGACACTAGAGCACTCCATGTACTGGGGACTACTTATGTCATTATGAAAGTCAGTTCTCAGACACCCAAAAAGAGATGCTACAAGTGGAAATGTTTTTCACTTAAAGTTATTGTTCACTGCATTCTGCATGAGATAGCTCAAGTTATTGCACCACCAATTTCTAGTCTTAGGAATTACACATTTTTAAAACATTACCAAGACCTTTCTGTCATTGACTAACACTAAATGTTATTATGTTAACACTATTATTTTTTATGTTCACAATTGTATAGTTTGAGGAGATTCACCAAATTATTAAAGTCCACAATAAAAATAGCTGAATGCTAGTTATAAAACTATCTTCTGCCATATGAATTACAGTTTTTATTTATTTTTTGTATATATCTCCAAGGCTTTTTGGTTATTGGCTGAACTGTTATTGGCTGTGAACTCTATTAAGCTTTTTTCATGTCCACTGTGTAATTGGAATAATCCTACTAAAATATCAAATTCTGCAACAACAAAGAAATATGTGTACAAGCTGAATGCTAATTGAATGGAAAAACGTCTGCTACATTAACACATATCTTGCCACGTTAATGTAATTCCACAAACATGTTAAAACATTTTCACTCTAGTGTTTTACCTTTCAATCTGCTTTGGAGTGCTTTATGTATCACTACTGCTCAGGGCTTTTTGAAAGGCACCATTTTGGCCCACACGGATGTTACCATGGTTCCTAAATGTTGCTATACCCCCGCACCTGAAGATGCAGCTCCTCCTTTAGCCTGAGCCCTCTCCACGCACCGCTCTCTCCTCTGCACCCCCTCGATAATGTTCCCATTTCTGTTGCAGATTTTGAGTCACTGCTGCCAAACAGTTTTGAATCAGAAGGACATGTTTTCATTGCTCCCAGGTAGCTCTGTGTGAACGGTCACCTGTCAGTCCAAGTTCACATTGTTATGAACAGTGTACTCTTGTTGTTTCTTTCATTGGATATTGCTGTGTGCATGCATCTGCTCTGGTGCATGTTAATGTGCAGCTCTGGGAAGAAGGAGACCATTGCTATATACAGTCATCATCTGAATATTGTGCTTTTTGTTGACAGCAGAGATATTTCAGCTGATTTCCAAATAATATGAAATTGTATTATAGAATTTGACGGCACATTTTTGGAGAAAAATGGTCATGTATTATAATTGTGATCAGACTTGTAATTTATCTTTTAAAATCAGGATTCATTTCACAGTGCATATTTGTAAAACTTCCAGGGACCATTTGACAGAAGATTGACAGAACTCTATATTTCAGAACATGACTGAGCTAATGGTTTAGCCAGTTTTATTCCATCAAAAGACTGGATATTTGCAGACAATATCCAAATAGAATACTGTAATTGTAGCTTTTTGTAATTTCATAAAGATTTCACTTGTGCAATGGAAAAAAATCTGCTCACCATTGTTTGCTCCATTCACAATTCTAAATTTTATAGAGTAGTTGTTTGTTTGTTTTTTTGTTAATAGTAATAGTTGTAGTAAAAAGAGTGACTTGTACAAATTCATTTGCTGGTATGCTGACTATGCTATTGTTAAACTTTGAGATGAACAGTGAACTGTGGTCTTTTCTTCCCATAACTGTATTTTTATGAAATGTTGGACCATATTGTGCATGAAGATCCTCTCTAAATACTGAATATCTCCATTGTCGTCTACAGTGCTGTGTGTTCATTTCTCATCTGGTTTGACGAGGGGACTGCTTTGGTTGAGTTTGAGCTTTCCTGCACATGAGAGCTTCAAGCATCACGTGTCCATGCATCTAAGTGTTGAGTGTCCGCAGCAAAGAAGACCCCAAACTGTTCATATGGATAAATGTCTGTTTGTTTTAGGGAATACTGCAATGACCTGGAGCTGTCAAGCAACAACACAGAGTTTTTACTGAACTTTATCGCACTCATGGAGAAAGTGACACCAGATTCAAAGCAATGTAAGTTACGTCTTTGAAGTGGCATTGTGTAATTTTTCTGCTGTAAGGCATTAATCTTGCATTTACTCAAGTGCAAGACAACAATATCTAAAAACTAATTAGGTAAAAAAAAAAAAAAAAAACATACATTCTTAGGGCCTGTTTACACGAGAACACTTGTGGGTAAAAACAACAAAATATTTTATCGGAAGTGCCTTTCGTTTAGACGGTGACACTGTTTTGGGGGCTTAAAAATGCAAAAATCTGAAAACACCCTCTAGAGTGGAAAGGTTGAATATGCTCCACTGTAGCATTTCCGTCTACACTGCCCAAGATGCAAAACTCTGGTCAGATCTGCTCACGTTGTGTACGCGTTAATGTCACATACATACAGTACACAGAAACAAACCATGTCGGATGGCATGCATACCCAATTGAATTCCACACACTTTTGCGTCACCGTATGCACGCAGATTTCCTCCCGAAAATGCTCATCTAAACGCAGAATAAAAAGGGAAAACATAACGCCACTTTTGCATCTTCTGTTCAGACCGTCATGATAGTCTTACTGTGAGTGGGCTTGTCTCCATAGATGTGACCTGTAATTTGGTCTGTCAGCGTTACCTGCTTGTAGATAGATCAGTTTAATGCCATGCTTTTTGCCAGGCAATAGCATCTCCATGGAGACAGTAGACCAGCCATTAGAAAAGTTACATAGCGCTCCTTTAAAGCATTTTCTTTTTTCATTTTGCCTAATCCATTCCCATACAAAAGAACAAGTACAATTCAGTAGAAAAGGTAAAATGTTGTTGACAGTCTTCATGTTATACCTAACTGGTGTATTGTGTCTGAATTATAAAAAAAACTAAACAAAAACAAGTTTGTGGTTTGTGTGGTTTCTGCACTCTGTTGGACCATTATTTCTTATGCATAAAACAAGTGTTATAGTCATAATCCTATCATAATATAAATGCAAATGTATTTCTGATGATTTGATCTGATCTTAGGCGATAACCTTCTTCTCCATAATTTGATCTTGGACACGGGGATCATCCGTCAGCTGGTGGAAAAAGTCTGGAAGAACAAAGATCTCAACACGTAAGAAGATTGGATTTACATGGACTTTCTAACTGACTATGGTGATTGTATATTTCATAATTTGTCTTCCTTCAATATATTTTAGGTATGGTTTCTTGGCTGTGTTTGCTGCCACTGATGGAGGCGTAACAAGAGTATTTCCCAACAAGTAAGTGTGCTAAGATGACTGTGTTTTGTTAAGTGATTTTTTCTTTTTCATTTAAATTTTGCTATGATTTAATATGTTTTATCTTTTCATAAATTACAGAGCTGCTGAAACTTGGGAGGAGGATCCAGAACCATTTAATGCCAGTTTTTACCGTCGCAGTTTGGACAATAAGGGGTACATCTTCAGAGCGCCTTATCGAACTGGTAAGTACTAAATAATACATGGAAATATATTAAGACATAAGAAAGTGGTGATAAACAGTCAAATAAATGCTTGGTTTCAGTCCTGTAATGTTGAACTTTTTGCAATGTAGTATTTCGGTACCTACAATTTGCTTCCACATAAGTACAGTTTTGGGCAACTCTAATCTTCTAATTTCTGAAACAGTGCTAATCCCTATCCACCTTATCCATATATCGCATTGTATACACATAAATGTTTTCACAGTGCTGCACAGAGACAGAAAACAAATTTTAAAAAGTAAAGCATAAAAGTAAATGCTCAATTTGATACACTCCTAAAACAATAAAATCAAATAAAAGCCAAATCATAAAAAACAACTGAGTAAAATAAATACACAAAACAAAACAATGTGCTCAAATAATATACCTGAAGCATTTGGTTTTCAACTTATGTCTTATATTTTCTCCATTTCTTTGTCTTGCCCAGCCCGAGACGAGTTCCTAAACCCAGAGAATGACACTATAGGCATCCTGGTGAGCACAGCCGTGGAAATCACAGTGGGAGGGAAAACTGTCAAACCTGCAGGTAAAACCCACACTCCACCATTAAACCAGGCCTCTTCTATATATACTTAATCACAGGGCACGATTCACAGCTTTTAATTGTCCTGTTATCTGGCTGTCATCTTTTGTGCTCCTCTTTTGATGGGCACTTTTCTCTTCTTTTCAGTGGTCGGAGTTAAATTGGACCTGGAAGCCTGGGTCGACAAATTCAAAATCCTTGCCAGTAACCACACTGATAGTCGGCAAGGCGTGCAGGTGCAGTATAGTGTCATTATTCTGTAAAATAATGACATATAAAAGTCACTTCTGTAACTTACTATGTAAAGTGCATGGGTTATAGAAGAACTTTCAGCATAGTAAAGTTGCTTTCATTAGGGCTGTGCAATTAATCAACTTTTAAACTTTTTATGGTGCAGTGTGGGCCAAACCGTCCATGTGAAATGGACTGTGAAGCCAACAGTGACGTAAGTAGTTTAATATTTTAGTGTTTTTAATAGTTATTATTACTATTATTTTCTAAATATTAAACAATTTTGCTTTTGTTTCCAGGACCTTGTGTGCTATCTAGTCGACGATGGTGGATTTTTGATCATGTCCAATCAGAAAGAAGACTGGAATAAGGTAAAGCAGTTTGACAGTTTTAAATCTGTAGTTTTTGGGAAAAGGATAGTGTAACCAAATCAAAATATAGATAGATGCAGCAGACCAAATAGAAAGGCAAAGAAAAATAAGTTTAAATTGAATAAAGTAAAAAAAAAAAAAGTAATGTAACAATGGCTCAAATTAGGTAAATCATTAACAAAAAGACGTGCCCAACTGGGGTAACTTAAATCAAACTGAACAGAACAAAACTTGACAAAGAACAGGGGTGTTTAAATACATGAGGGCCAACTAAAACTGAACACTAGAAGGGGGGAATTGCATTAAATAATTAACTAAAACTACTAACTTATTTAAACTAACAAGAAGGCAAATACATATAATACAGAACATAATAAGTGATAATAAAGTAACCTTAAACAAACTAATCTAGCAAAACTAACTAAATAGTGCTCCCCTTTTGTTTGGCGTGGATGGTCTCTGCCAAAGGTCCTTTGTCTGGCCACTCAAACAAAAAAAGAACAAGTGTAAGTAATAATTCAGACTTATATTAACTAAAATGTGTGTACCCAAAATTCGACAATATAAGTCTAAATAAAGGAATTATCTAAACTATGTGCACTGTAATTAACTTAATTAAAATTTAAATGAAATGAAATGATACTAACACTGTGGGGTGGTGGCAGAGGTATCCACTTGGTGAAAAGTAACTTGTGCTACCAGACAAGCTAGAGGTCAGATCAGTGGAGAGGAGAGAATGCTCACAGAAAGGCAGCAAAAAAAATTAAATATATGACTTATATATGACTGTTTATTGTTTGTTCGTGTGGTTGTTTTTCATTGTCTCATGGTACACTTTGAGCCATTTGCATATGTTTTGCCATTGTGGGTTTTTTTTTTTACTACAAATGGAAAATAAACTAACTTTCCCATGAATATTTATTAAAACATTCCAGTCTTTATCCTGTGAATAGCCAAAGATCATGGCCTCAGTATTCCCCACTTTTGATAATAAAGTCTAGATTATCTCTTGAGCTCTTTCAACATTGTTTAAACATGAATCCCCTTCTCCTCTGTGTCAGGTGGGCATGTTTTTCAGTGAGGTGGACCCTTACCTCATGTACGCTCTCTACAACAACTCCTTCTTCAACCGAAAGCAATCGTTTGATTACCAGTCTGTGTGCGAGCGCATCCCCAACAGTGAGGCCGGAGCAGGACCACGATCAGTGTTTGTGGTGAGAAACTGAGGAGATGGAGGACTGCAGTAACTTTGAGATATTTGGATAGATTTAATATAACCTACGTTGTTGTTTGTTTCATTCAGCCTACTATAGCAGATTTTGTAAATATAGCCTGGTGGACTTCTGCAGCTGCATGGTAAGATTTTCAGTAGTAGGTGAATACAGGATGAGACCTTCTTTTACAGTCAATATAAATGTAGTTTAATAGCTGGTCCTGGGTTTAATTCTCTTTATAGTTTAATTAAGAAGATTTAATGAACTATGTAATGAACTTCAAAGAAAATTATATACATTTTACACACATGTATACAGTATTTATCATTTTACATTTAATAAAAAGCAATTTGACCTTTTATAAACCAAATTTTTATTCAAATATTTTACTTTATTTATTTGCAGGTCCTTATTTCAGCAGTTTATTTATGGCCTTGCCTATCACAGTTGGTTTGTCAAAGGTAAGTCATGACTGACGGTTGTATAGATTTGTGGTTTCCAGCTTCCTGTTTATGCACCATTTTGAGTAACAAAGATATGACCCTTCAAATGATATTATAATATTTTATATTATATATAATATTTTGTCAAGAATAATTACTTGCAATGCCAACAATGCAATTTGTTCACTGCAAAACCCATGGATTAGATTCTGAATTGGATTACTTAGAACTCACAAAAAACATTAGGGCTGTTGCCATAGTAAATGGCAAAATATATCTTTTGAGGAAAAAAATCTTCAAAGTGTTGCATATAGCAGGATAGAATAAATAAACAATATATCAGACCATGTCATCATTTGTGCCTTTCTTACATGTACCTGTGTGTTCTTTACGCTGTATTTGTGGTAATGACAGATGTGGAGGCAGCTGAGAGTGTGGACTCTAAAGAGAGGAGCTGTGTGATGATGCAGACGCAGTATTATCTGACCAACCTGACCAACTCCTACAACATACTACAGGACTGCGGCAACTGCTCCAGGTCTGACCAGGGTTTTCAACGCACAAAGATGCCAAAAAAAACAAGTCGTATGCAAAGTGCATATGACAGGTTTCTCAAATTTTTACTTAATTTAAGGAGATAATACAGTATAAATACAAATATAAATTATAGTTTAACACCAATCAAGTAGAAATTTGTTTAAAAAATTTTTTTTCAATTAAAAAAAAAAAAAAAAGGTCAATAATTTTTTTTTTTCAATAAAAGTTGCACAAAAAAAAATATATATATATATATATATATATATATATATATATATATATATATAATATCTATGTATATTATATATATATGTATATTTATATATATATATATATATATAATATATAATATATATGTGTGTATGTGTGTGTGTGTATGTGTATGTGTATATATATATATATATATATATATATATATATATATAAATTACAGGAAGTAGAGAGTTCCATATTGATGACATCTTACTAAGGAGACTTCAGTCCAAAAGTTTGACACAATTTATACACAAGAAACACATTTTTTCCAATATTTTAAACATTGTTTAAATAAAACAAAGGGGTTTTCTTATATTTTTATTTGTCAAATTCTATTTTTTGTTTACACTAGAGGAGTTTTGGCCCAATGTACTAGATGGTTGCAAGATCATAGTAATACAATTTGAAACCTAAAAACTGGTTCAACTTGGAAAAAAAAGTCAAACGAGTAGTCTAACCTGTCATAGGTGCTTTTTGTTGGAGAAAAGTGGGCGGCACTGTTCCAAAGGTTGGCAGTTCGAATCCCACTCTTAACATTAAAACATCCTTGGTTTTGCAGGTGGGTGGTGCAGGTCCAGCTCTCACAGATGAACTCTGATATTGTGTTCTTGAGCAAGACACTTGACCCACCTTGCCTCCAGTCTCTGCGTATATTGGTGTATGAATGTGTGTGAATGAGTGAATGGTTCCTTGATGTAAAGTGCTTTGAGGTATAAAAATATGACCAATATGAACATTTATTTGCATTTTTTTTCTCGACAAGTTTTGTGATTTACATTTTAAAAGTAGGCATTTCAGAACATGTTTGTGGAGGCCTAAGCTTCAGGTACAATACAATTTTCTATAAAAAAATATATATATTTGCTGAGGACTTTCTATTCTCTAATTAATTGCAGCCTTAGTGATTTGATTTGATTGCAACTTGTGGCAACTCAAATTGTGATTTTGAGCTGATTGCGCTGTGTAGCCCTAACGTAAAGCACTAAAGACTCTGCTATTTCTGATAAATGTATACGATTAAAGTGTAATGAAAGGGTTACATCACTGGTTAAATGAGCCTTAAAATGTGTTCTTATCGCCTTAGTGAATGTACTTGCAAATGAGAGCGTAATGTTTGGGAGTGGGACGATGTTTTCTCCTTGCAATAGATAGTCCTGTTTTAAAACTTCTTTGCCCCCTAACCAGAATATTTACTGTTTGAATCTTGCTATTAACATTAAATTCTTGTGACCCCGAGCTGTGATTTGTGAGGCAGAGGAGGTGCACAGTCATTGGGTATTACTATGGGAACAACAAACATAGCATTTAGATTTAATTTTAGTGCTTTGACTGCCTTGCTAAATAACAAAAGCTATTATTTATTCTGGTAACAGACAAAGGCAAGGTCTGTTTCTAATGATGCACATTTATGACATCTTTAAATTGTCACTGGTTCTTTGGGAGGATAGTAAAGGCTCCTTCCCATTTCTGTGCACTTGGGCTCTTCAATTGCGAGGAGTAGTGTTAAAATAAACAAGCTAAACTAAAATTTCAAACTCGATTTTGCTAGTAAGGAACAGACTCGTTACTCAATACCAATACCACAATGATAAGAAAAAAATCTAGATAGTAGAACGAGATTTTTAACGTTAAAGGTACATTGTGTAACTTTTCTGGTGGAGGGTCTGTCAAATGCTTTTCTTCATGAAGATGTTATTGATTTGTCTGGAATGTTTCACAGTATGGTACTAATCTATCACCATGGAGACCAAACTAGACCCAAGTTAGTTAGATCTGTGGAGAGGCAACCCCGCTCACAATCAGAATGCCTGTTTCTAGGTATTTTTGAGCTATAAAACCACCTGTAATTGAAGAAATGTAAGGTTGTTACGAGCCAGCTCAGCTAGGGACAAAGGAAGTAACAAAAAACCAAGATGGAAATAAATTAGTAACGTTTAATCAAAAGGGATATAAAAGATAAATTAACAAAACAGACTAAAATATATACAGAAAATAACCTAAACTAAGAAATAAACACAACAGAATTAACATATAATGAGTTTTGTGCCACAAAAGGGGTCACTTAGGTCTATACAAAAATGACAAATTAAAAAAGGCACAAAACAGAACTAAACAAAGCATGTGTCTTAACACAACCAACAATGTCAGACACGTATTAGTACGAACAAGTGACTGACACGAAAGAGACAAACACAAAATAGCAGACTGACCACCAAGACCAGCAGCCCTGAACAGGCATGATTGGCCAGGTGAAGATGTGCCCCACCAATCACGGACAAGGGCTCCCACAGCAGGATACAGGACAACAAGCAAAATAAATTAAAACATACAAAACAAGTCAGAATTGGAGGCCCGGGTTCGTAACAAAGGTACTGTTTAATGTCATACTGTGGAACATTCCAGGCAGAGCAATGACAAATCGATAAAAAAGGCAGGTGACAGACCCTCCACTAGAAAAGTTACCCAGTAAACCTGTAAATGATGTACTTATGTAATATTCCCATGTGGATTTATATCTGTTTAATCCCTCAGTGGTCCAAGTAGGTTCCATAGTGGTCCATGGGCATATAGTAGTCTATGTGCTCATACTTGTTCTGATACAGCTCAAGATCATTCTGTCTGTGAATGTGACTATTAATACTTGTTCAAATGAGTATCTAGTTTAAGTTCTAGTAGTATCGATTAGTATCTGATTTACAGTACTTCAGTCAACCCTATCAAGAAATTCCAATGTCGTTTTTTGACAGAATATTGTCTTCTACAGGTTGATCCACGCTAAAAGGTTAAATAACACCAACTTGCTGTTTGTGGTGGCCGAGAAGTTGCTCTGTAACTCCTGTGAGATTGAGAGGCTTACACAAGAACAAGAAGAATGTATCCTTTTGCCGTTATAAAACTGACACTAGTGGATAAGTATGTGACATGTCAGCACTAGGCCTGTCACAATAACAACATTGTGAAGTGTGGTTATATTGCTCAAGAAAATATAGACTATAAAACTGAAATAAAATGAACAGCACTTTAGTTTGAATCTATAATGAGGCATAGAATGTATTTATTCAACCTTCTACAGCTCAGATCATATCAAATCTAAAACCTAAACACAATAAAAATGTTCCTCACTAGTACTAAGAAAAAGTTTGATAAATATTCACCCCCAAAAATGATTGTTCCAATATAGTAATTTTATTATTATAGTGCCAAGCCTAGTCAGCCTATTCAATTTGATACAAGTTACAGTTCAGTTACAGAACTTGTTAGGTTGAATTATCAGAGTTAACTTTTATTTACTTTCATTTATTTTTATTTAGTCAGTATATAACTCATTACAGTTTATATATGTTATATTCAGATCATAGTCAATATGTAGAACTTTACAATCAAATCAACACACTAAGTAGCAGAAGTATTTTATTCAGTAATTTTGCAGCACTACAAAACATAAACTACAACCCCACGGATCATGGCCGAAAGAGTTTAGGCTGAAGTAAAAATTACTTATAATGCCTAACCCTATTAATCAATGACAGAATTCCAAGAAACAAAGCAGCGTATGAACAGCAAGTTTGCATTTACAATTTCACTTATGAATTACTGTATATTTAAGAGACAAAATATAAATTAAAACAAACAAAACTGAATCCATAATTAATTCATTCTAGAGATCAATATCTTTTAAAATATAACACTTGATACACTTTTAAAGGCTTTTTTTTTTTTTTTTTAAATCATCAATCTGATTGTTCCATATACTAACCCCTCTAACAGAAATACAATCACATTTTTTTTTAGTTCTTATCTTCATGTTTTTTTTTTTTAAGATGCAATTTTTCCCCCTGTTTAAGTCAAAGGACAGGTGTAGGCAGAAGCTAATGCTTATTGTGCAAATCCCAACTAAACTTACTACACCTAGAATGGGGTTGTTAGGCTGTCAACTATGATTATTTATTTATTTACTTAAAACAAGGACTGTGCACAGAAAACATTAATCTCAGAGAGGAAAGATGCTCGGCGCCATATTTAGCCACAAGCTACTTTCCATCTGCAGTCCTTGGGCAGGTGCAGAAGAAATGAAAGAGCCTATTTACATAAAAGCACCTCTAACAACAATATTTAATCTATAACAATGTCTCCATAAATAACCACTAGCCAATTCATCATAAAAATGTTAATAGTCAAAATTCATCAGGACTAATTCCCATAAATACAAGTTTCAAATTCAGCTTTATCTTCTAAAAATACTCAAAATCCAATTCATTGTTATCAATATCCTCTAAAATGTGCAATTATCAAATTCATCACTGTTATTATCCTCTAAAATATAATTAACTTTTAAATTCTGTACTAAAAACCAACAATTAGACTTAGAGCTATTAAATTAGTAGAATAGCAAGCCAGCTCTAGACAAGGGTATGAATAGCCCACCAAAAAATCCAGATCTGGGTGCTATATTAACTTTTCAAAGATAATTCCATCTTATTCTTCATGGAAAACTACCTTCTGAGAACATGCATAGACACTCTGACCACTTTTTCAGTTTCACAAAAGACTGCGCTCAATAAAAACTGTTAGAAGGAGACTACACTGCATTATATCAAATTATTAACATGCCTGACACATTTAACATCACTTTTCAAAGTTTATTTTTATCATGATGGATTCTTTTCTGCCCAGCTCTTTACATCAATAGCTCAGCCCGATGATTAGGAGTGTAGGCGGCTGAAGTACAGTGAAATGAATGAATATAAAATACATGAGACTCCTTAATTCAGTGATTTTCAGACAAAGAAGAGAATCCTTGTGAAGTCATGGCTCCAGCGCGTTACAGGAAAGGACCCTCCACCTGCTTTGACAACAACATCTCTGTAAGAATCAATATTATGTATCAAACATGTTGATATTATGTTTGGACATGTCTTTCTCTTGACTCGACTCAGACTTGAGTCAGTATTTTTGGGCTTGAGACTTGACTTGATAAAATGGACTAAGACTTGGGACTTGACTTGAACTTGAAAGTCAGTAACTTGGGACTTGACCCAGACTTGAGGCCTGTGACTTGAGAAGACTTGAGAAGCACTTTTAAATCTGAATTCTTTCTATTCTGACCGTAATGATTCACACTAAGATCTTGTCAAGACATTTAAAAAGGAAAAATTAAACAAAATCTAATTCTACAACTCTTATATACTCTATGAATACTCATACACAAATATACTATGATTTTTTTAAGTACAAATTATCTTAAAAGTCATACAATTTGCAAAAATCTAAGCTATATTTGGTACTTGGGTTTAAAGACTTGAAATGACTTGAAGCTCAAAGCAGACGACTTGGACTTGCCTGTATTTGACTTGGGACTTGAGGTCAAAGACATGAGACTTCCTTGAGACTTGCAAAACAAAGACCTTTGCTTATTGACCCTGAAAAAAAAACAGCAATAGAAACTCCAGTTGCAATGTCACCTTTGTGCTGGTCCAAAGTCTGGGGACTGTCTGTCTTTATTAAATCATGAATTAAATTAAATTGTAAACACAATGAAGGAGGAGATACAATCAACTTTGTATTAGTCTATTGTAAGTATTTGTAGTATTGCCACAGAAAGTACACAAAATCGTTCCTTTCTTGATAAGGAATAGGTTCGGCTCCTCATCTGACTGGTCATTAAACTAAATAAATGCCATAATCTGCAGCCAATCATTAATCAGTGCAAGTTCAGCCTTTGTAGCTTTAAACCTGTGTTTTTGTGTGTTACAGGAGAACACATCAGACTGTGGGCGGGGCTACTCTTTCCGTCCGTCGCTTTATTCACTGCTGCTCATTCAACTGCTCCTGCTTTACCCCGCCCTCAGCCCCTACGCCCTATCACTAACACATTAACTCCACCAACCTCTGCTGTCCTGGTATAGCCCGCCCAAGCCTTATTTACTATCCCGTAGCCCCAACACCACTGTCCACATCTGTGCCCCTATGTGCCCCTCCCAAAATATAGTCAACGGTAACGGGACTTCTATAGTGGCAGAAGCCCCTTATAGTGCCACGCTGCCCACTTTGCTTCAGTCATTTGTGGCAATTGATATCTTTGGACATTCAGTATACTTGAGTGGCATCAGAAAGCTCGCCCATAAAAAGAAAGTAATTAACCATGACTGTTACATGGGACCAGGAAGTCAGCAAAATGTCCTGCTTCTTGCATCATCCAGCTGTTGTGGACAGTTCTACCAGTTCTAGCCAGAAAATACCTTGAAAAAAACGATTCAAAATGTCAGCGCTGAGGTGATACTCAAAGCTTATGTTATGATTATTAAGGTTTTTATTTGAAAAAGGAAGCTGTTAGATGTTAACTTAATTTATGCACTACTTCAATGTCTACTTGCCAAACAGAGATAGACTTTCATGTGTTCTTATTTTTATATAGCCAAAATGTGCTGAGGAAAATGGCTTTTGATTTTAGATTTAAGATAACTGAGTGCTGATTCATTTCATCCACTCGGGATTATGGCAATTACATGCTTTTTGTTACATTTGTTTAAAAATATCCTTTTATTTATGCTATTTCTTTGTAACATGAATCAGTGATTTGTGTCTAGAGCAGTGGTTCTCAAACAGAGGTACTGTTCCCTCTAGTGATATGTGAATTTTTGTTCCAATTTAATCTAGTTTTTAGTCTGGACATTGCATCTTGTCCTGGTTTATTTCTACTGCAGTTAATCTTAGTTAATTCTGGATCATGGGTTTAAACATAGGTTAGTCCGGGTTTAGTTTTAGCTCAGTCCTAATTTAAGATTTGATTTAGGCACACTTTTGAGTAGTTCTTGAAATGTCAAATATTTAAGGTAGAATTATTTAAGGAAGTTTGAGAATCACTGTTTTAGCTTTTTTGTTTCATATCTTTTCATATTTGTATTTGTTACTTACATCATTATTATTATTATTATTGATGTATTACTACTTTTTATAATCATTCCAACCTTTAAGCCCTGAAGCTCGGCCAATCCTCATGAAGCTTCCTCAGTGACCTCCTATTTTAACTTTGAATTTAAGTCACTGCCATCTTACACTAGCATCATGCCTCTGCCTCATGACTATCGCATAGTAGCCCCTGGTGGGGTTTTGTCCTTTGCTTTTTAGGTTTACTACTCACTGGCCACTTTATTAGGTACACCTGTTGTAATCATTTCAATGGGAATGGACAGAACTGTAATATCAAATCAAATCTATAGGGATAAACCATCTGAAGTTCATACAAAGCATCAAAATATGAATATAGTGAAAAAAAGTTCATTTAAATGTTACTGATCCACTGTCAAGACAGTTATCAACACATTTTCCATTAGTCTAAAATTCAAAATCACTAGTTTGTAAAGTGTTAAACAGTATCAGATTTGTCATCATTTCTCCATATCTAAAAGCACCGAGTTGGTACAATTTTGTTTAATGACATTTGCATTTAAAATCCTGTGAACAGATGTGCCGAATATTGTGGTCTGCGAGTGTATTTTCCCTTTTGACTAAAGCTGTTTAATCTTCAAACCATTCGCTGCTGGGGTTTAGGGGCTTCTCATTATGATTCTTGATGTGAAGAGCAAAAGAGGCCACTGGTGATCACATGGTTGTGTGGTTGTCACAGTTTTAGTGAGGATAAAATGGTGTGAACAGTTATTTAGTAACGCTCTGATTCATAGTGCCTTGATGCACTTTCTTTTGGCTTTGTATGAGTAAAACAACTGCGTGGTGACTTTTATGGCAGCCATTTTGGAGACTTTGACAAATGAGGTGATGTGTGACGTATTCAGTGTTGATAAACATGAGGCTGTGCTTGCATTTCGGTGGTGATAGCAAACAATTCCTGTTTATTGTACAGAAAGCACCATTCACCACCACAATACAAATTGTCTATGGACAACAGCAGGGTAGAGTATGACAAAGTGCTTCAACTTTTTGCATTGTACTGTATGCGTAAGTAGTAGCAGCTTTCTGCAGCACTTTTCTGGGGATTGTCCAATATATATAGAGCTCATGTATAGCATAAATTACCTTTTGGCAATTAAATCATGTTGTTTCCTCTAATTATATACATTTTACAATAAAATCTGCAAATTTAATGTCATCAAAATAGCTACTGCTCATATCTATCCTTAAGTTAAATACATAAGTTTCAGAGTGATGAAAAACAGTGTCACCATAGCAATTAACAATTCAAAACAAAACCAGCCAAAAGTCCTCAAAATGTTACATATAAACAGGAAACCCATGAATTGCCTAATCTCTGAACTCTTGAGTGGACAGGCAATCAGCTACGGGGTAACTGATGACTGTAACGCCTACATATGCTGTATATTCACTACAACTATGAACATATAGAAAAATATATCTGCTACAATCTTGAATATTGAGACTGCCATATTTGGTCACTCCACCGTTGCTTTACGACGCCATGTGTAGAGCTATGATAATGCTATGATATCGAGCGACTTGGGGCCACTGACTGCTGTCATTCTGCCTGAATGCGTGCTCGTTTGTGTGCGAATGTAGGACTATCTTTCTGTTAAAAGCCCTCAAAGGGAATGTATGGAGGCACATGGCCGTCCAATGTGTCTTATGTGTTGAACTAGACAAAAAAGTATTAGAAAAACTGCAGAAAAATTTATTTAATTTGTTAAAAAAGTTGGAGGTAAACGAATGTGTACATCATCAGTGTTTTTGTTAGTTTTTATTATTTGTGTTATGTTTTCAGTGTTAATGCCTCTCTAAATGCCTTAGCGTTCCACAATACACAGCTCTCCGATCCCTCTCTATATATCTTAAAAACTATATTCTCAAAGTGTCCTGCAAGTGTAGAAATTAAGCTCTTATTTTGTATTTTAATTGTCATTTTGGTTTACGATAAATACTGATTCATAAAGGCTGTTTTAACAATACTTGAAAACAGTTGTAGTTTTTAAATGAAAAAATTCAAGTGCGTGGCTTGGAGATTTATTATATTATTAAATTATATGCAACTGCTACAGAGAGTGGTCCAGAACATCAAATTGCTACGAGATATTGCAAAGTTCAACCGCAAAATGTTCAAAATCATAAATTCTATATGATTGGTGACTATTCAGACTGAGTCATACTTCAAAGTAGCTATAAAATGCACCCAGAATCCACAAATAAGAAATGATTTTGATACTGTGCTTTATAGTTCAGACTTCTTTTAGGGCCACTGTAGTTATTTCTAGTATAATTTGACCGTCACAGGAAACTGCAGCAAATTGGACAAATGTAATAAAAATACATTCAATGACTAAGAGATATATAGACAACATATTGCATTTATTATTAAGTTACAACGGTCTAACGCTGCTTGCAGTTTTGGCATCCATTGGGTTGCTCTGCTCTATTCCTAAAGTACACATCCTTGAGTTTCAGAATTATGAAAAATTAGGATCGTTACCTTAACAATAAAGAAACAAAACAAAACATATATTCTGAATGGTGATAAGGAAACTCATGAATAGTTGGTTCTATTCTCTTCTCCTTCACTGTTTGTAAATGAACACAAAACGTGCCTGTGTAACTTGAACCCCTCAAATAATTTTTTCCCAACCTACCTGCACTGCTACATTATGCACAACGCTACACACGAGCTAACCAAGAGAACATGTACGGACACTGGTTTCGCTGGGACATATCAAACACTACAAGGTAAAGGTTAGCCAAGGATGTCATTTTGGGATGCAGTTTTGTTTTATTTTGTTTATATTATTATAATTTTAGTGTATGAGAGGGTGGGATGTCCGAGGCCAGGTAAGAGAGGTATAATAGTTACGAGCGTGTGCATCCCCCATACCCCTAAATGCTTTGGAAAGAAGTTTGTCAGTAGGCTATTTCCAGTGTATTAGCAAATTGTTAATTATACATCTGTAAGCGTTTTACTGAAATCGAACGGGAGATTAGTAGGTCAACATTCAAAGGTGCACTATGTAACTTGTCTGGAGGATGCATCAGGATGGTCTCCATGGAGTTGTTATGCTTTGCCCAGAATGTTCCACAGTACAGAATTAAACTTGTGTATCTTCTGTTTATTCAAATATACTGTCTGTGTGTATGACTGAATACAAATACACTGAAAAACCTGCACTGACTGTGATAAAGATCACATCTCTCATAACTTGGCGTGTTTAATGCTATACTGTGGAACCTCGAATGATGAAATAGCACCTCCATGGAGACAAGTTTTTAATAATCATTTCCTATTTGGACTACAAAATATATAATTAACAGTCCATAGCAAAATAGCCTTTTGAATGGTGACAAGTCCTCATATATCAATACGAATACATCTTAAATAGCTTACAGACACACTTCACACTAAAGCATTTCAAACACACACCACTAAAGGAACACACTCAGTTATGTGGATTTACTTTTGCCAAAAAATAAAATGACTAAAATAGAAAAATGGATCAGCCGGGCGGGGACGAATGGCAGGGCTTGTCTTTGGCCGGTCCTCTGTCCCGTCAGCCCTGGCTGCTTCTGTGTCGGTGCATCGTATGTGGGAAAGAAGATTTGTATGTGATTCTGTAGTCTGTAGTCTGGTGCTATGTGACCATGTTCGACAAAGTGTGTGAAAAAAATAACATTTAGTAAGAAAAAAAGCCGTCAAAATTTAAGTGAAGTTTAAAAAATATAATAAATATAGGAATTACAGCACTGTTGATAAGTTTGCGATCTGAAATGTTTATAATTTGTTTAATTTCTGAATGGGGTCTTGAATGAATGCGGTGTGTTTGTGAGTGCGTGGGTTAGCTCCTTCTTTCTGGGCACTAAGTCCATGTCATTCTTTTGTACAGATGAAGCTAAAAAAAAAGAGGAGGGCAAAATTTGTAAAATATTGTGTCTGTGACTCCTTGTAAAATATTTTCAAATTGTTTATTACAGAGAATCAGTTATTAAATAATGTTCATATTTTTCACTTCATTTGATTGTGTTGTGTCTTTTTTCAGACTCAGCAGGAGATTAATGCACTGTTAAATTGGAAAATGGATATTGTCTGTGAACCTCTACAAACAATTATCTAACTTCTAAATGACTTTCCATATTTATAGTATCCCTGATGCTTAAACAGTTATAACTATTTTTAAACAAAAGGGATCCAGCTGTTTACCACAAATTTGGCATAGTGTTCAGAATGATGGCAGAGTGGTTAGCATTACTGCCGCTCAGAAAAGGTTATGGCTTGCATTTCCACAAAAAATTTACTCAAATGAACAATGCTGAATATTTCATAGTGTAGATATAAAGTCTAAGAGCTCTTTGTGCCATATGTCTGGATTGGTCCAGGTAACATGGATGCCCCGCATCCTTTATCACAACTACTTTGTGATTGGTCAGATTCTTCAAGTTTTTCACCACTTCTTTTCCGAGAATCATGTCCCTCTCTCCATAGACGATCAGAGTTGGAACCTGAGAGAAAAACATGAAAGAAAAAGGCATTACTAAAGGGATTTTTAGAAATGGCCCCCAGCTCACCCCAAGTTTGAGGTTTGAAGAGGATAAGAAACTGGCTTTTACTAAGTCTAATATGTATGAAAAATAGTATTAGGTACTCAAGCATAATCGTATTCCATATCACAAGAGAGTGTTATAATATCTAAAGGTACATTATGTAACTTTTCTAGTAGAAGGTCCACCATCTGTTTGTTTCCATGGATATGGTATTGCTTCTCCTGTAATGTTCAACAGTATAGCATAGTATTAACGTAACATAAAGTTTACTGCATTTTTTTTATGACTCGACTTTTTATGAAAAAACGTGCGTTCTTTCTGTGAGCAGGCTGTCGCCTCTTCACGGTTTTGACCTGTAACTGACCTGCTTGTCTCCTTGGAGAAAAGTTTAATGTCATGGTAGTGGCACGGTGGAACATTCTAATAACATGTCTTTGGAGACAAGCAGATGACAGATCCTCCATTAAAAAGTTAGTGCTCCTTTAATCTAAATCAGGTACTCTTGTGATATGAGTAGCACAATAGCACAGTATGCAGATTCACTTTGACTGTACAAAGAAGCTTTTTTTTAAGATGCATTTTTGTCCTTTATTTCTCAGTTAGTTCTGAATAAGATAAGGTTTGAAGCTGGTTTATGCCTGTTTAAGACACATTAGTGATGGTTTTATCCTGGCTTAGTTCTTTTACTAGCTCAAAGTAAAATTCAGGTGATGGTACAATGCAAATCTAGTTTACTATGAAACTATTAAATTATGAGTGTTACATATGAAAAGAAAGAAATGTCGGAATTCATGCGTAAACGGTCAAAGAGATAAGACTTTGCTAAAGGTAAGCCAATTACAAGCCCCCCAGCTGTACCTTGACACTTTGGTATTGTTCGGCTGTAAATTTCTCCGTGCAAATCGGGGCCACAGGGATGTACGCTCGGACCATGGAAGGATGCTCTATGAGGAAAGGGAGAGAGTGTGATCCACTTAAAGAGGGGCTGATGATCACAACAGGAGCCAGACCCAGACTCTCACACAGGGATCTCAGGAACTGTGCAGGGACCAGCTGTCCAAGGGGTGCTGGGCCCTCGACTTTTATAGACCGGCCAAGATCTGACAACAAACAACACAGGTGCAACAGGTAAATGACCGGAGAATTACTTAATGCACTGTCATCTGCTTTTGTGTATCAGTAGGTTTACAGGCAAAAGATGACCCAATGTATAACTTTTCAACCTAGAAACAGATGAAAAAGCATGCTTTTTTTTTATTTTGAATGTTTTCATTATATTCAACCTTATTGCCTGGTCATCAAAATCCCTTTGTTTTCAAGTGGGCATGGCTGACAGGTGGATTAGCCAATCAGGGACACTCATGCTCCGTCCGTATCAAAAGAAATTAAATTAAAAAAACATCACACGGGACTGAAAAACATGGTGGAACTCTGCAGAATCAGTGAGCAAAGCACTAAACTCTGTTAATCTGAGGTGAGATTAATTTGATTTTATTTGTAACTCATAAGTGACCAGTGAGCTCCTTGTTTCACATAGGTCATGACAAAAAAACAATTCTGACTGCATGATCACGTTTGACTGGGCTTGAGACGCAACGGAAAGTGTGAAAGTCTATATAAAAAAATGCAGAGATACCATTCTGGATTTGCCAAACAAGCACCCTTATTATGAGCAGGCTCGAATCTCCAAAACCTGACTTTTACATGGCTTGGAGGATGGCCTCCTAATGCTTGTATTCAAGGAAACACTTTGGCTATAATAATTCCACATTACAGCATAACACTTATTTACATTGAGAATTCTCCAAAGTATGATTGGAGTGCCTCTTTTATTCAATTTTAAACTGTCCGATGGACTGATAAAAAGTGAATTGTGATTGGATTTTTATGATATGGTATTTAGTTTATTTAGGCTATTCAAAGTTTCATTCAAGTTAAATAGTCTTGTTAGAACATGGTTTATTCTTTTAATTGTGTTTCATTTTAGATTGTAGTTTATTTTTGTCATAGTCCAGTTCATTCCAGCTTTGATTTAAATTCTCAAATAATTTCAGAAGCCATCTAGTCAGTATCTGCTCATTTCTAGTTGCAAGTTATGTTTGTGTGAAAACTTTGAGGATCATAAATGTAGAGTCTCAGTATAAATTATAGGCATTGCCAGTGGAAACTCACATGGCAGGTCCACAGCCACACAATGACAGCCCGCTTTAGCCAGAGCCTCCAGAGTGCCGATCTTGAGCCAGTTTTCAGAGGTGAAGCGCAGGCCGTGGAGAAGCAGCACAGACAGTCTGGGCGCCACGGTGACAGGTTCACTTTGTCTGAAAAACAGCGGCGCACTGCAGCCCTCCACCTGCACCGACCCCTCTGTGATTCTCACCTCTGACATCCTGCACACAACAATCAACAACATTATATGGGCAGCAATACGAGCTCAACAATGCCCAGTCTCATCTGATCTCAGAAGCTAAGCAGGAGACCTCAAGGAGAACCAGGTGCCATGTTGTAAGAATCTGTTATTTATTTCTCATAAAACATAAAACAGTTCTCAAACTTTTTTAACACTGAACCACCAGTTTAATTTATCTTTTTGGCTACAACCAGATCTAAACCCGGACTACATCATGTAAACTTTAGTCAGGGTAAACCAGGTCTAAAATGAGACTAAGCCATTTCTAAAAAAAAAAACAAACAAACAAAAAAACATAGAAGAAGTAATTATTTTTAGATTTATCAGTTCATCTTTGTGAAAAGCTTTCATTAATACAACTTATGTGACCACTGAGTAGTCACATTTCTAATAAATGTGTCCTCAGGGATTAGATAACAATTACAAATACAATACAATTACAATAACAAAACAATTGCTGCAGATTTTACTTCAGTGTGACAGGTATCTGTGTCCATGTTCACCTACAGAGCTGTGGGACATGCCTCTTTGGTCAACTATGTAAATACTAGTAGTGAACATGCACAACATTATTACTATTACTTTGTTATTCAACAAAGTAACTTTTCTGGTTGGGGGTTCGCTACATCCTTGTCTTCATTCATGTCCTGTTGTTTTGCCTGGAGCAGCCTATTTCTCAGTATTTAAATGTATCTACCACCTAATTACAGGAGTAAAGAGACACTTTCACTGTAAGAATACACGTTTTTCAAGTAACAACTATAAGTAATCGTAAGAAAAATGCAAAACGGATAAGTGTATGAAACATCACAAGCAAAGCAATAACATCTCCATAAAGACAAGCACTTCGCGGACCCCCCACCAAAAGTAACATAGTGCACCTTTAATTACATAGTTCTAAGGAAAAGTCTGATCAAACGTCATGTATAACTTTCTGCAACCTACTCTAGTCGACTACCTGAAAGTTTGCCAAACAGCGTGACTGAAGTCCACCGACACAGCTTTATTTCGATTAAAAGACGTAGTTAACCGTCTGACGCTGATAAAGATACTTACCTGGGACCACCTGTGAGCAGACTGCACTAAAAAAGAGCCAAACGATCTCTCCTCTTCACTGCTCTTATAAACACTGCTGTCTGGAGCTGATATCCCGGAAAACCGCCCCAAACTTCGTGCGTAAATGGCGCAGCTCCCTCTCGCGGCCATTTTACGCACAGCACTTGGATTGGTGTCTGCGCTGAAATTGGCCTTTTGAGAGGAGTGGGATGAGTGATAACAGCCCACTCACAAGAACAGAGGGTCTGAGTAATGATTAATGTGAATATTGATTATTTCAGTCTCGTTTGAGTAAGGCCTCCGCGTTGGCCCATGCGCTCAAATTACTAGCGCTTTATGTCTAGCTGCGTAGGTTTACAAAAGCTGAACAAGACTGGTGTTTTTTGATCCAAAACTCAGATTGGTGGAGTTAAACTTTACGTTTTACCTAAAATATGGAGTTCTTTGTAGCCTGTCTGTTGCTAGCCGTGGAATTAAGCTCAGGTAATGACTTTCTCAAAACTTTCTGCAATGTTATTCGGTGCACATTTTCTTATGTAATAATGTAGTGCGTTTGTCCATTGACCATACAGATTCTACATGTTCACTAAAAGCAGCATTTGTAATAAAATTAACTCATTTTATCTATATTAACGTCTGATGGGTGCCAGCATAAGGCCTGTTATTGCTGTGTTGTAATGTAGTGATAAATTAGCCCTTTAGATAAACACCAATTGATACTCAAAACAAGTTGGTGTGTTCGTTGATCTAAGAATATTATTTGCAATTTAACTGTCACATGGGGGACAACTAACAATTGTGGTTTTAATGCATATAGTACCATGTTTTTTGTTATGATTTAAGTTTGCGGCATTTAGGCACGTTTTGCTGATGTTCTTGGCTTTTGCTGTGGCAATTTTGAGTCTTGGTCCAAAGGTTATATGTGAGCAGGCCTGTGCCCAAATCAGACATTGGCACAAGTCTAGACTCTGCTGTTTTTACTGTATTTGAGTTCATTTTAAGGATGTCCAGATGATTTGGTTAATCAATCATTTTGATTAATCACGCCACAATAACCATGGATCTCAGAAGGATGAAAAATACCATAGCAATTAGAATACACTATCTCAGTGGTTCTTAAACTTTTTTGTCTGGAGTACCTCCGAACATTATCTCACCCCCTATTAGCGTTACCAGAGTTTCTTTAGTAATATAAATCTATTTACTAGTATGATGCCATTATAATTATTGCAGTTTCTAGTTTTAATAACTAGTACTATAATGCCACAATTATTCTACAGAAACATTTTTAAGGATGTAAAATGTACTACAAAGAATATTTCATATTCAGATACCATTCATTGCCACCTTTCTTTAAAATGTGTCATAGTCGTAGTACCCCCTGCTTGCATACTTCCACTGGTCCTTGTACCCCTGGTTGGGAAACACTGTCCTGTCTTTTGAATAGTGAAGTCTTCAGAATGTCACCTGTAACAGCAACAAATCCATGCATAAAATGGATTTTAGAGACAAAAGTAATACATTTCAATTTAAAGTAAGTAAACTTTATTTATATAGCTTTTTTCGTAGATAAAAATCACAAAGTGCTTTAGAGCAGTTACAACAAATAAAAAACAATAAGCAAAATGTGGTAGTACTCAGTCACCCAAAAGCTTTTCTAAACAGGAGTATGTTCAGCTGCTTTCTAGAGTGCTTTATTATCTGACTCTTTTAGTCACATTAGCGTTACTTTATCATTCAGAAAGTTTGTGTGAGGAATGGAGATTAGACAATATGCATGAACATGAATCAAGATTGTTTGGTCAGGCTGTCATTAACAGCATAAAATACATCTCACAACAAACTTAACACTAAAACTTGATACTATAAATTGTGAATAGGGCATTTATGATGTTTTTTAGCTTATCGTAGCCCTCTGAACGACTTCCAGCGCTCCGAGGGCAGGGAGCTGGTGCCCACGGCCTGGAACTCTGCTCGGGTAATCACCTACAGAGGGGTGAACCTGGAGGACTGTGCCTCCCGCTGTTCTTTGTCCCTGGATTGCAGGTAATAGCAGCAGCTCAGCCAGTAAAGAGATGGTACTTTGATACTCAGCAATAAAGATGAGGGATGTGGGGCCCTGAAAGAAGGTGTTTTAACTTTCTATTTCCATGGAGTCATCCAGGTGATGTTCCACTTCCAGAAAGTTACACATTGTCAGACTGTCGGCCACAGTCTTTTTGAATGCACCCCCACAAGTTATTGATAATTTTTAATGTGGTGTAGTAATAGAATAGAATACTTTATAGAAACTTTGTCAGATTTTTACTGCCATGTCAATTCTAATAATCTGTAAGTATTACATAGCATTATAGTATTATCTTACTAAAATGTTACTGTTGCTCCACCAGAGCTTTTAACTACGAGACCCGTCCGACAGTGAACTGCAAACATCTGCCATGGGTCGGAGACGGCAGCAACGCAGAGGTCAAGAGGAATGTAAACTGTGACCTCTATGAAAAGAAAGGTACAAGTGCTTACATTGTTCTTTTTATAGTTTGCTTTCATCTTCATTATATTGCCTAATTTGATGTTTCTCTGTCCAGTCTATGTGCGTAAGTGCATTGTGGGTCAAGGAGAGGATTACAGAGGGAAGGTCTCCACCACAAAGAGTGGTCTGACCTGCCAACAGTGGTGGTCCAAGTTCCCTCATGATCACAGGTAAACAATTCAACTACAAAATGTACTGTAACTTACCATGTATTCTTTTATCAACTATTAGTTAAGTCAGTCATTTTTTTGATGGGACAGAGTTAAAATATGTACACTTGAAATGTAAATATTTCAACTGCCAGTTAGCATCTTTGTATGGTACTTTTTTTATTTTTAATTAACGTTTTTTAATTTAAACAATATGTTTTTGACAGGGACTACTTTATTACATGTATTCTAGCTGCCTTCATTTTACACATTTAATATAGATAATATCATATCAACACTAGATGGTGCTAAATCATAGTTGAATATAATTTCCATATATTTTACTCATCAAATATACAGACTAATTATAATAAAGGGTTCCTAAAATGTGTGTGAATGAAACAAAACACAAATCCAGGTATGTTTTTGAGGAGGTAACAGCATTATAGCATGGCTTAACACTCAAAGGAGTCAGTTTGCCTCATACAGGACCTTTTAAAACAAAAGTTGTGCAAAGTGTTATAGTGACTCTATGTCTCAGGTGGACGCCATCTCCCACTAATGGTCTGGAGCTGAGTTACTGCAGGAATCCGGATGGGGACCGGATTGGGCCCTGGTGCTACACCACAGACCCAGAGCGACGCTACGAGAGCTGCAACATCCCACAGTGCAAAGACGGTACTCTGAGTAACCGGTTGTGTAGGCAATAGGTTGTCTTCACATTATAAATTGTGATATATAAATCCATGGAATAGGCACTGCTTTTTTGGAAGAAATATCCAAAGTTAAGATTAAGCGTTGAATGATATCATTATTATATACTCTCTAACCTGATAACTTTATATTAATCTTGTGATTTCAACTGACCACTATCACGTCTTTGGCGTTGAATAATGGTGAATAATTTCTTTTGGAATTTTCATTCACTCATGTTTAGCACACAAATCCTTCATATGTATGCTAAGTTCTTCTCTCAGACAGAAAATACTCTGTTCTACCTTTTGATGTCATGTGGTAATACAGGAATTGCTCCACTGTGTTTTCAAATTCCATACACCTTCATTAGAATCATTTGGATCATTTCAGCCCTGGAATTACCAGTCTCTACTGAACAGAAGGTAAAAGGGAGCCGTTAACTTGAAAACTACCGCTTGGAGATGTAGACAGACTAATAATAAAGGATAACATAAAGGAAACAAAAGCTCAAGAGGCAATTTTGTGTAATATAGGACATTTGATATCAACAGCAAACTATGTTTATTCTTATGCAGTATATGTCTTTACATCTAATGTTATTTTATTAGTCTACATTTCCCTGGCTGCATATAGTGTGTTTTTGTCCTACTTTTTTCAGAGTCAGAGGATGTTGAATGTAATATGCTGCTGCCCAAAAGCTTATTTTCTGCTCCATTACCAAAGCAATACCCCAGGAACTTTAAGTAAAAAGGGGGAAATAAATGACTTTGCCTTTGTATGCACATTTGTTTATTGAATATTTGTAGTATTTTACAGTGACTAAAGTTTAGTACAGCTTTACCACAAAGCTAAAGAAATATTTGCAAAGAAGACAAACTTGACAAATGATTGTAATTATATCCAAAGCAGATGTATTTGTGGTTATTCTAATATACTTAATTAAATGTCTTATATTATGCTTCTAAATTAACTGTTATTTGACTTTTCACAATATTTTAATATTGTTTCTTAAATGAAAAAATTGCCTTAAAATAGCATTCTCTAATCTCAGGCTTAGTGTTGTCACCTGCTTGTGTCCATGGTGATAGATACATACTGGATTCAGTGTCAGGTTAACACTGTGGGATATTCAAGCAAAGCAATAACATGTCCACTGAGACAAGCATGTAGCGGACCATCCTACAGAAAAGTCTAACTAATTTATGAATATGAATACCTGAATATTTATTGACAAAATGATGAAAATTAGACTAAATAAGACCTTTTAAATACTGAATGCTAATGGTTATAAGTGCTGTTTTCCAGAGGTGTGCATTACCTGTAATGGGGAGGACTACAGAGGCCAGGTAGACCACACTGTGAGTGGCAGAGAATGTCAGAGATGGGACCAGCAGTACCCACATCAGCACATCTACCAACCTGAGAAGTACTGTTCCCTTTCTTATTAACCACAAATATTGCGTGTCTCACAGTAAAATTTTACAGTTATGATTATTGTGAAAAGAAACCAAAGTGAAATCCTCGATTCCAATGAACTACCTGTGCTCTAGTATGCAACCAGCTTTATTAAAACAAACTTTCTGAATGGAAAAATTCTCAAGATTATTTTAGGACCTGAGTAATCATGATTATTAATTAACTCAATAATCTTATCATCCTTAATTTTGAGTATTCTAAGTATTTGTCTCTATATCAGGTATCCAGATAAAAGCCTGGATGATAACTACTGTCGTAACCCAGATGCATCGCCTGTGCCCTGGTGCTACACCACAGACCCAGAGGTGGAGAGGGAGAACTGTGAGATCAGGAAGTGCAGTGAGTATCGACCTTTAAAACTGGATATTTTCAGATTCTAGTAATGATGTCACTCTCTCAAGTATCTTCCATTAGTTATACTACTAGATTAATATGAGCCATAAGAAAAGAAAATCCACATCCACAACCTTGTAAATCCCATAATCCATTTTTCTGATTCATCTATTATTACATTTATTTTCAATAAATATTATAAAAAAAGAACACTTAAGTTGGACATTTTGTTTAAATTATGACACAACTATTGAACTAGCTATTCATGGGTTTCAGAAAACAATTCCTTCCCAATTTGAAGGCCTTTGTGAGAACCAGGTGGGAACTTTTCCCCATTCAAAAGATATAATATTTGAATTGCTTAAGTGCGATGACCACAGAGGACGGTTGTCATACCTTGAAACCCATGACAATACAAACAATACATCTGATTTGTCCAGTGTAATTGCTATGTCTAAATCAAATTAAATGAATAAATCTTACAACATAAATTTTAATTATAATATTATAAAAACTGACTGTTTACAAGTTCATATACAGTATCCATTATAAACAATGCTGGCGAATGCTTGTGTCAGCTTATGGTGTATTTAAAAACTCAACCAAATACATCTTCCAACTTTGTCTGTGCTATTTAATTGCATCATTAGCAACAAAACACAAGTGTAATCTTATACAAGCGTTTCTCAGTCCTGAAAAGCCCTTCTTAGTACTGGTGTAGTCTGCTTAAACAAATGAGACAGGGGCTAAATTGGGCAGGATCCTGTGGAGTTGTAAGACACTGTTTAACTGTGGGAGCCTCATTATCTGAAGTGTAATTGCATTTAGAAAGATCACCTTTAGTAGTTTAAGCAAATTGCTTCCAAAATGAAAGACACTTTGCCCCCATCCAACTAAGTGTGTCTGATAGGCCGTGCACTGTGCTAGATTTAACTCTTGTTTACACATTCATTTGGTGTCAGTTTTTCTCTTCTTATTTGGTAGTTGTTTTCAAAGTTATTTTGGGGCACTGGTTGTACAGATGCTACAAAACAAACTTAAAAAGAAAGAAATGTGCCCAGGATTTCAACATTTTTATTTGATGGCAAAAAATGAGGCAATGCTGGACTTTCCATCAGTGCAGGCAACATGTGATTACAGAGCGCCCTCTAGTGGTGCATTGCAGGAAATCATCTGTTTAAAGATATGCATGTGTATGAACTAGAAACCGTAATACTATACATTAAAACAACAATTAGCTGTTAAAGTAATAAAAAACAGAACTAGTAAATGCAATAAATCAGTTAGAAGAATTGAATAATAGAAAAGAAAAATTACAAATCAAATCAAAAAGAGACAGAAAGGGCCACACAAATACAAAGAGAAGACAGAATAAAATTAGATCTTAAGGTAAGACCACAAACACTCCACGGGGGTGTTTGGACATGTGTGAATGGTGTTTACTTTTCCATCGTAGAACAAATTGCAGATTTTGAAAGAAATACTATAATCCACTAATTATCATGTAGTTTACTGTATAATTATTATACTGAAAGATGCTAAACCCATCAGTCAAGCTTCAAATCCAGAAGAAATCTCAATTTCAAATGTAAAACATAAACAATTCTACAAATTTTTTGACGAATAATATTGTAAACATATGTGACCGTGATAAACAGTTGTGTTCATCTATTCAAACTAGACCAGTTTATGAAAAAAAATACCAATACAAAATTCATAATGTTTAGAAAAGTAATCTATGGATTTATCATTGGTCTACCTGGGATGTTCCACAGTATGACATTAAACAGCTCTACCTTACATTTATTAAATTACAGGTGGTTTTATAGCTCAAAAAAGTCTAGACATGATGATGATAGAATATGATAGATAAGTTTATTACCATCCTGTGAATCATTCCAGACAAAGCAATAACATATCCACACAGAAAAGCATTTGACAGTCTCTTGACAGGTTACAAAATGCAACTTTAAGTGGTTTATCTGTCTTTGTTTAGCTGAGGTGCGAGTGGAGAAACGTCAGCGCTCAAGCTTCACCACAAACTGTTTCCGGGGCCGAGGAGAGGACTACCGCGGCAAAGTGAACGAGACCACCTCCGGGATCGCCTGCCAGAGATGGGATGCCCAGTACCCCCCACGAGCACCCCTTCTACCCCAACACCTATGAGTGCAAGTCAGTTCCACTATAGACTATTGGCTAGACCCATTTATTGTCCTGCCAAATATACTTTCTCTTGACTAATAAATTATACACTATTATTGACACATAATTAGATTAATTTAATATTCTTTCTTCTGTTCTTTAATTTTTTACCCTGTTTATTTAAGATACCAGAAGGAACAAGGTTTGATTCATACACATAGCTTGTTCTTCCAGTGTTTGCATTAACTTGTGTGGGGTGTCCCCCTATGTGAATATGACCCTCATAGTAATTATATGGGTATTTTTAGAGTAACATTTCTGTTTATAGTACTATATAAAGTCTCTGTTGAATGCTTATCACCACAGAGATGGTATTGCTTTGCCTAGAATATTCCTTAGTTGGCATTACACTTATCTATCCTGCATTTATGGTCCCCTATTCACAGATCTGTATATAAATAAAGTTACATAGTGCACCTTTAAACAAAGAAACAACAAACTGTATATAGTGGCTCGGAATTGGTTTAATACCTTCATATATACTGCCCCCCTTTAAAATAAACATCAAATAGTCAAAGTATTTGCATAAGAATCTCAATGTCAACTTGTCATTGTCATAAAAAGTGTTTTTGTGTGTGACAGCAGATGATAGATGGTTAGCGCTGCCACATTAAAAGCCTGTCACAATCTGAGTGGCAATGCGCATGTGAAATGAATAATAAATTCAACCATTTTTCATGCCAACATCAATTACCAGATTTTCACTCTCGTCTTCATTATACAACTGTTAGGCTGTTGACTTGAGATGGGAAAGTGGCGTCAAAGTCAATTTAGTTCTTTAATGTGTTTTTGGATATGCTGTTTGCTTTTATATTGTTTAGGGGTCTGGAGGAAAACTACTGCAGGAACCCGGATGGCTCTGAGGCCCCCTGGTGCTTCACGTCGGTACCTGAGATGAGGACAGCTCTGTGTTTACAGATAAAACGCTGTGCAGATGATATCGAGGCTGAAGGTAGGATGATGGGGTACTTTTGGTGTTAATCAGACTAATAAACAACTCAGTCTTACTTTATGATACATTGCTACCTCATTAAGTTCAATGTATTGCATGGTGTAGCAGCCTGCTGTTACAAGCTGCTCTGCTAAGAGAGGTTATAACAAATCAAGATTTTGAAATGGTAAATGAAATAGCGATTTAATTGACAAAAAGAAAATGCAAATCTTAACAAAAGGGGACCCAAATGTGATCATTTATTTACAATAAATACAAATATTTAAAATATATTTATTAAAAATATTTAAAATGTATATAAAAAGTAATTACATTGTACTTGGGATTAGCTGTAAGAGTCAATTTAATTTAATGCATATTTTTAAAAGCTGAATCTATTTCAGTACAATAAAAATATTATTAAATCTCTCCTTGATATAATCCACTCATTTTTATTACATGATAATATCTGTAGAAGTAACTGGAACAAAAAACGTTTTTTAAAATGGATATATCTGTATTTGCAAATGAACACTAAAAATAAAAATGAAATGAAATGAAAAGTGTAGTCCAAAAACTCATCTTCAACATTTTATTGTGATAATTTTATTCTGATATAAATTTGATAATGTGGCCTAATACAAGTTCTGATTATAAATGTTTAGATTGTTATCATGAAAATGGAAAGAACTACAGAGGAACAGTTCGGAAAACACGTAAAGGCATCATCTGCCAGAAGTGGAACGTCAACACACCTCACCGAACCAAGTAAGACACTTTTTATCATGTGTATATTTTTATCAATTATTTATTTTGTTATATTAAACAAAACATAATACCACTGATATTTTTAGAGCAATGTAGCTCAATCTGTTTCTTTTCCACTTAATGTAAATAACCATAGTCATAGCCACTTATTTAATAGTGTTGTAGCCTTTTATTTTTACTGCACTTGCACAGTGTTGAGTTTGTGTAAACCTTTTTGTAATAATTATTTATCTTGATTTTTTTTTATTGCATATCTCTATTCTCACGCTGTTCTTGTACTTTATGTTGCAACATTGGAATTCCCCATTGTGGGACATATAAAGATTTTCTTATCTTATCTATTTATTTTTTCAATGTATTTCCCAGGATTAACCCTAGGACCCACCCTGAGGCCAACCTGACAGAAAACTACTGTCGAAACCCAGACGGGGACCAGCATGGACCCTGGTGCTACACAACAGACCCGAAAACCGAGTTCGACTACTGCGCCATTAAACAGTGTGGTAAACCGCGTTCTTTGCAGACTAACCCGGCCACTCATTCTCTGGTTAATAATAAATCTGCCTCTTTGATTTCAGCCGGCGAGAAGGTGTCACTGACTGAGCCAGTGGGTCAGTTTCCCAGGATACAAGCATCAAACCACAGAGATAAAAGCTGTTTGTATGATAATTTCCCCTTTGTTGTTACAGAGAAGGTAGAGTTTAGTGAGTGTGGAAAGAGAGACGACCGCATGCCCCGGTCCAGGCTGCGTATCGTGGGAGGGGTCCCTGGGAACTCTCCATGGACTGTAAGTCTGAGAGACAGGTGAGCACTGTGGGTTTATGATTAACAGGTAAAACACTCCCCGCTCTGAAAATGACCTTTCACCTCATTATGTGCAGGAAAGGAAACCATTTCTGTGGAGGGTCCCTGGTTAACCCCAGATGGGTGATCAGCACCAAACAGTGCTTCTCCTCTTGGTAAACATTACCTCACTTAAAGGGGCACACACGTTTTACAAGCAGAGCAGCTTTAAGCACAAAGAAGGTTAAACAACAAGTGCAGGTAGAACTACGTTTTAAATGTGACAAGGATTTTTAAAGTTAATATTTACTCCTGTGTTTGTTGTTATAGTGATGCTACACCTGTGTAATTATCAGTGATTATGCCTGAACCATATATAGTTGCTTCCATTTTATGTTATATGGCATTTTTGTGTTGTGTAAGAGTAGGGAAATATATTCATTTATTTTTTTATGATTATTGGTATATTGTATATCATTTATAATGGGGTTAATCATATAATTTATTTATTCATCTTGAGATACTCTAAACAAAGTAGATTTAAAGTAACAAATTGAACAAACTTATGTTGCAATCTTCCATCTTTGTTAGAAAGTATTCATTTTTGTCAGTATCACCTACCCCTACCAGCTAGCAGATCAGTTCTAAAATAATCTTGAAACTGACACATATGATATATTTTTTATTTGATAAGATTAAGTTCCAAACCCAACGTGGCATCTTACTATGATGATGTCGGATTTTTTTTATTTAAATTTTTTTTGCTTCCAGTTACGTGGATCTGCCTGGTTACTCTGCCATGATGGGGACTTTATTTCGGGATCCTGCTGATGGCGAGCCCGGGGTGCAGACTATCCCTCTCACCAAAATCGTGTGCGGACCCTCGGAGTCCCAGCTCGTCATGCTCCAACTCGAATAGTGCGCCCCCCCTCTCTTCTCCCTAAACACACAGCAGACACATATATGAGCAAGCATGACCAGCCATTTTGACATGATTTCCTTTCTTTTTCCTTTCTTCCTCTGCAGCCCAGCACAGTTTAATGAGCGTGTCTCTCAGATCTGCCTCCCCCCAGAGAGGTACATTGTGGCAGAGGGGACGTTTTGTGAGATTGCAGGATGGGGTGAGACACGAGGCAAGTGTAATCCTATTTAAAAGCATAGCACATCTATTTCTTTGTAATCCTGCACATATGTATAGCATAGAGTCCAAATACATGGTTATTTTAAAGGTGCTCTATGTAATTTTTATGCCTGTGTCCATGGAGATGTTATTGCTTTGCCTGGAATGTTTCACAGTAATAGATGTATATATCTTGCATTTATTAGATTTCAGGTGCTTTATTGCAAAAAAACAAAACAAAAACATACATCCTTATCATGTATGGGGCAACCTCTCAGATCAGAACAGATTTGTGGTGTCACTTACTTGTCTTTATGAAGCTAAATTTATTGCGATTGCAGACCCTCCACCAGAAAAGTTACATAGTGCACCTTTAAAAATCGAATCTACTTCCCCTTAATGGCCTCCTCCATCTCATATACATTTTTGCCAGTTAGATTACACTTTATTGCTTGTTATCAATTTTTGCTTTTAAAGAGTTAGTGGGAATTTGGGCCCATAACTTGGAACTGAGAATCTTGTCATTTATGGGCCTATTACATTTTTGTTCTCTTTTGTTCTATAACTGTTTATGGGTTATTCTACTTCCTTGAGTCACAACAAACTCAAAGTAACCTTAAAATAAGAATAGGATAACTAACTTCTAAAATGTTTGATGAATTGTGCAAATTGTGACAAGTTATGTTATAAAATTATGCAAAAATCTTTTAGTCTTGGTCTTTTGCTGTTTTATATGAAAATGTAATAATAAACAACTGTTACTTATCTTTTGAACAGTCCAAAAGCCCAATACAGATTTTAAAAAACATTTGGAGGAAGTCATAAATTGTCAGTCAAGATTCAGTCTAGATTAGAAGATGTATTTGAACTAAGCATGGCAGATGGTATTACTATTTATACAGCCATTGAACATCTGTGTGCATCAGCTGCTAACTGTGATGTCTGGCTCTCACTGTGAAGGCACCGGGGATGAGACGGTCCTGAACGTGGCTCACATTCCAGTTCTGAGCAACAAGGAATGCAACAAATACTTCAGAGGGCGTGTCCGCGAGAACGAGATGTGCACTAGCTCTTTCCAGGGAGGGGTGGGCGCCTGCGAGGTACACAAAAACACTTTCAAATACATTTTATACTATACTTTTGCTTAGTTACTGTGTTATTAGTATCACCATTATTTTTTGTCAATAACCAAATCAAATTTTTCTCAAACTGAGCTACAGGCCCTTCTTTTGGAACGTTGGATTTGTTAAGCGATCCCAACTTGATATTTGGTTCAGTGGGCACAATGGTCAATTCTCTGCAAATGCGTAGAATATAAAAATGGATTGATTACTAAAAATGGATTGCCATAAAGTGCATTTGTGGTATAAGTACAGAAAGGCTCTCTTGCCTCAAATGCAGGACAACACAGGATTACTCAAACATGCATAACGCAAATACAACTTTTAGTAAGCTTACAATGAAATAATTGGGTAAAATGGTTAATTGCTCATAAAAGTTGAATTTGCAACATTCACATTCACAAAAAAGACCCTTTACTTTATTAATTTACATTAGGTTCAGTGAGCAAAATGGGGAATGTCCTTGGAAATGCCTAGAATATAAGAATTCATTGATTACCTAAAAATCTTTGTATTTGAGGGATATGAGCATGATCAGGGGCATGATATAATGATTATAAAAAGTGAAATTTGCATAATATGTCTCCTCTAATATTTAACTATTTTCTTTTACTTTGGAATGGAATCTTATGGTTAAATTTGCTGATTCCCAGGCATAACCTATTGGAGTCATACGTTTTTTTTGGGGGGTTGTTTTTTGTTTTTTTGTTTTTGTTTTTTTTACAAAATTTATGCATTTCCCATGTGAATATTGTAAAGTTTTTGAGCTTGCTTTGCCTCCTGGCTAAAATCAAATAGTTTTTCCAAAGCACCAAAAGAAATTGAAATGTATCCACTCTAATTTAAGCACTGTCTTTCCTGTGACATTTACAACAGCCTGTCTGAAGTCTTTAATAGCAACATCTTACTGCTGGAGATTTTGACAAAGTTCGTGCTGATCAAAACCGTCCCAGGAAAAGGAGCCTGGAGCTATTTATAGACCCCAATAAATCAGCCCCTCTCCTATAGTCACATAATGGGACGAGACTGGTCCAGACAAGACTGCAAGATGTTTCCCAACGTATGCAGTGACAGTCAGCCATAACAAAGACAAATAATGACTGGGGACTGTTGTTTCTTGTGGGTCTCCTTTAGCACATCTATATCATTGTACTCCAGCATATATGCATTGTATAGAGTCCTAAGACATGGTTACATTAAAGGGCCCATATTATGCTATTTTCTGAGCTATGTTATATTGTTGTTCCTCATCAAAAACATACCCAGAGGTTTTTTGTTTGTTTTTTTCAGTTACACATGTTTAACACACAGTTCTCACAAGAAGAAAACACTCTCTTCTACCTTGTGATGTCATGTGGTAATACAGGACGTGCTCCACTGTGTTTTTAAACTCCAAACATTTTTACTAGAATCATTTGGATAATTTCAGCCATGGAATTGCTGGTGAACAAACTCTGGTGAACAAAAGGTAAAAGGCTATTAACTTGATAACTACAAGACTACCGCTTCATCACAAGGTGGACCTTAGCATTTAGACCTTCGGAGATGTAAGACTAAGACAGACTAATAATAAATGATTATTCAAACATGTGCGAATGAAATAAAACACAACTCCCGGTATGTTTTTGATAAGGTAACAACATTCTATCATGGCTCGTAATGGCAAGTCAATTTAGCAGATCTTAAAGATACACTATGTAACTAGGTTCAATAGGAGGGAATTTAATTGATTTATCTTACATTGAAGAAAAATTACCTAGTGCATATAGTAAACTACAAAATGTTCAAAAACATGTCCTTACTCTGTGTGGGCTAGCATCTCCACAAACCTGACTTTTATTTCCACAATATGTCACAGTATGTAAGCTTGTCTCCATGAACAATGTTTCGATATATGGTTTTAACTTTCTATTTGCATGGAATCATGCAGGTGACATTTGGCCTCCAGAACGTTACACAATACTGCTTTACACTAACTTAATCTAAATATAAAATAACAGAACAGCCATAACAAAGACATAATGACTTGTGTGTCTCTAGAGGGACTATGGAGGACCTTTGGCCTGTCAGAACCTGGACTGCTGGGTTTTGGAGGGAGTGATTATCCCCATGAGGCGCTGTGGTCACCCAGGGCAACCCAACATCTTCATCCGAGTGTCCGTCTACGTGGACTGGATTAAGAAAGTCATGGAAATGGCTTAAAAAGACTGACAACTAAAAGGAAAGTGGAAAGGAAGTGTTTTCAAAGCACATGGCATGTTCTCAATGTGGAAAACTGTCAGGAATTATATAGTAGATAGGGTGAGCACCTCAAATTGTAGAAAAATGTGTTAAATATGGTGGGATATGGAGGGTTGGACTATTTAATAATAACTGCAATAACGCCATATGATTTTCAGTTTTTATTAGTCATAACGCTTAAGTTGTTAAAACATATTACAGCCTTGAATGTAGTACATGTACACCCAAAATCATGTTTTCTATGTAAAATTTATACAATGGCATCAATAAAAAGTGGGATATTCTCTAAGTAAATGCGATGAGAGCCTAGCGGCTGTTAAGGACACACACAAAGTCTATATAACGTGCATTTAAAACTTCTGTCTTTTCCCTTCATATGCTCTCCTCATTCTCAACAACAGCATAGCAGCATTTCAGAACTCTCTAAAAGTAACACCCAAATTGTCTCTTAGACTTAGAATTACTTAGACTTAAACAAACTTTATTGATCCACAAGGGAAATTATTTTTTCCATACATTCAAGAGAGTCATGCTAACATGCCCCTGCTTTTCTTCCCTTTTCTCTATTTATGTTTCCCTATTCCTCGAAAGCGACATCATAGACATAGCTTGGACCAGGGGCGGCTCCATACATTTTTTCTAGGAGGGGTTAAGGGAGGGGCTAAAGTCTTCCATGAGGGTACTCAGATTACATGGTGAACAGAGCCTTTTAACAGTGAAGCGAGTACTATCCAACTCTTGATGTTTGCCTAAAGTTCTAAACAAGTTTAAAGGTACACTATGTAACTTTTCTGGTGGAGGGCTGCTGTGTACATAAAAATGTTTTTATTTTGCCTACAATGTTCCACACACATCTATTGTTATGAAAACAAGCACGCCAACAGGCCAAGTTACAGGTCAGATCTGTGGAGAGATGACCACATAGAATACATGTTTTTCAGAGGATTTTTGAGCACTATAAACACTTTGAATTGAATAATACAAGATAGATCATTTTAATGTCATAATGTAGAACATTCCAGGGAAAGCAGTAACATTTCCATGGAGAAGTAGGTAGTGAACCTTCTACCAGAAAAAATAGTTTTCATACATAGTTAACCTTTAAAGTTAGTGATTTGCAAATCTAAATGTGAAATTCTTAGATTTGTCTTTTGTTTTACCTGTTCATTTAAGCGGGGTGGGGGCTAGTAAGGCATTGACCTTACTTGGGGGGTGCTGGCACCACCCTTGGGTTGGACTAGCTAAAACTAGTTTCTTGACATGAATTTTAGAAATAGCAAAAGCCCACTTCTGTGATGTTGTTGATAACTTGCTGGTATGCTGGGAACAGGATTGGTATCTTATGTTTATTTTCAGTATTGCATTTTACCCTGTTTAGTGTTGTGCAAACTATACATTTTAGTGAAGAACGGGTGCAAACATTTGTATTTTGATCTGTCCAAATTAAAGTTCATCTTATATTTTTGGTTTGCCATTTATTCATGAGCGGGAATAGATGTAGATGAACACTGTAACTGGAAATTCCCCAAGTCACCATGAATTAACAAAGATTTGATTGTATTTATTCAGTAAAAATGTGGCCTTGCTATAACAAAAGTAGAGATTACATATAAAGCTTACTGTACTGTACTCGTTTTTCCCATCCTTTAGTAAAACACACTGCCCCCCCACCCCCTTACCGCACTCTCTGCCCCCCTTCTCCCTTTTCCTCACTCCCCTCTCCTTTACCCCCCCTCTCTCCCTCCCTTCCTTCTTTCTTCACCCCCTCTTTCTCCCTCTCTACCTTTTTTCTACTACCTCTCCCTCTCTTCCCTTCTCCCGTTCCCCCTCCCCTTCTCCCTCTCCTTTTTTTTTCTCTTCCTCTCTTTTCTCTCCCTCCCTCTCTCCCTCTCTCCCTCTCCCTTCCCTCCTGCCTGCCACCCCTCCTTCTCTCCCTCCTACCCTCTCTCGTACACTCTGTGAATGGAGCTCCCGAAATACCTTCTTTGCCCCCAGCCTCTCGGACAGAAATCCCTCCTCTGCTCTGTCTTTTGATGCCTGTCCCCCACCTCCTCCAAAAGACATGCCTTTGTGCCTTATGCAGAACTGTATGCGCTGCACATTCCTTTTACTTCTATAGGAGGATTTTTGTAACTCGGTCCTGATGAGCCAACGGAATCCAGCTTAAACAAACCTCAACATCAGAGAATTGGACACACCATTTTTACGTACACACAAAATCTCTCCGCACCCTCCCCCCCCAAATCTTATCCATTCAGACATGGTTTCTTTTCCTCTGCACAGTACCTTTCTATTGTCTCCCGATCAGACGTGGGGAATACTCAGTCATTTGCTCAAGTTCATTTATTAAGGTACATTTGTATCAAATTGTAGTTCAGTAGTGGTTTTTAGTTGCCATACTTTTACTCCTACTTGAGTCACAGTGTGTGTAAGAGTACCATTGAATAAAGTTTTGATTACTCTTTCCACTGTGATTAAGTCTACAATGGACAAAGCCTTCATATAAAATTATTTAAACCTTTGTGTTTCTTATATTGTTCTTTCAGATATGATTTCATTTTTTCACATTTTTGGGATCTATTTCTTGCAAGATTTTGACCATTATTTACTAGTAGTTTTTTTCCCAATACTACTTACTTTTACTTAATTTCTTGGACCACTTCTTTGTACTTCTGCTTGAGTAATATTATTTTGAAGTCATTTGACTTTATATGTATCTTAAACAAAGAAATAATAGTATAAATGGCCATTCAAGTTGCCCTTTCAAAACATATCAAAAAATTGGATATGCTTTATTTTGTAAAAGAAATTATTTTGTTTCTTAAGCATCTTATGAATGTCTGAACAACATTGTATAACTGCTTTGAATGCTTTGCAGTAATATAATGTAAATTAAAAAAAAGGGAAGAGCATTATTAGGGTTAAAAGAAATGTGATCCAGATCCAGATGTGTTGCAGATCCCTGCAACTCACATACAACTCAAAATATATATTTTTCCTTTTCCCTGTAGCTTTTCTTGTTAACTGTTTTCTAGAAATTACAATCATCATTGTTTTTGCTCCTGAAATATAATTGTACGATTAGTCATTATTACTGTAATAGTGACTGATTTATGGATAACTGTCACTTCTTGCAGACCACAATTTATAATAAATACAAAGGTTAGTATGATATGCAAATTATTTGCCTTTCTGTACAGTTGAACTATTATCAATATGCTCAACTAATAATTTCAAGATGCTGTACATTTATTGGTGTAATTAAAAATTGTATTTCTTGCATAATTCGTCAAGTTTTACAGTCTAAAATAACATAAAAGTCCCGTTTAACTATAAATCCTGTGCAGTATGATTTTGTCAAGTTTGTCAGTAGGTATACTTTTACCTCACATAACTACATAACTATTCTGGTAGAGGGTTAGCCTCCACCAGACATACATTCTGGTGGAGGGTTAGATGTAGGTGCACGTCTCATCTACAGACACATGTATTCTGGTGACTTTTGCTAGAACGCATGTTTCTGTTATACAATATGATATTAAACTGACCTAACTTAGACTAATCAATTACAGGTATTTTATTGCCTCCAGTCAGAGATAAATATAGTTCTTTATTTTATGTTTACGTTTTTATTAAGAGTCACACAGAGTTTTTCTCACAAAGCCTCCTCCTTTGTTATTTTCCTTCCATAGACATGTTTAATATCATACTATTCACAAAAATATCCACAAAAATAACAAAGAAATAAGATAGTTTTTTTTTTTCTTGTTGTTGTTTTTTTTTTACATCTTTATTGAATTTTAAGAATGAGAAAGTTTGTTTTTATTCATTTTCTGTCTATAAATGTGTTGTCAGACTAGAAATATAGGCAAAGCATAGAGACAAGTAACTAAGTAACTGAGGTGCATTTTTAATATTAAACTTTAGAAACATCAACATAATTTAAGGTGCACTGTGTAGCTCTTTAGTTGGGGGTCTGTCACCTGCTTGTTTTTATGAATGTGCCATTGCTCTGCCTGGAATGTTCCACAGTATGGCATTAAACAGCTTTATTTTACATTTATTAAATTACAGGTGGCTTTACTGCTTAAAGATACCAACAAAAACAAGAATTCTGACTGTGAGCGAGGTCGCCTCTTCACAGACCTAACCTGTAAATTCTGATTTGGTCTCCATGAAAATAGAAAGGTTTAATACCATATTGTGAAACTTTCCAGACAAAGCAGAAACATCTCCATGAAGATAAGCATTTGACGGCCCTCCACTAGAAAAGTTACTCAATGCACCTTTAAAACAACAACAAATGCTATGAAGGCTACTCTTTCCATGTACATTGAGCCACCTGCCCTCCTCCACATTTGTCCCTGCTGCTGAGAGCGCTGGAGTGTGGTTGATAAAGCTTTATGTTTTGGTCCAACGCCAGAACATTCACCTGACATGACTTCTGCAGTGCGGGGGCATTAGAGCTGGAATGTGTGTGTGTTTTTTGAGTCCGACTTTGTTTTGAATATATGAAAAAAGTTTGATTCTAATGTTTGCCTTATGCATTGTGAAAACTGGGATCTTTGCTGCTTTGAATGGGAGAAAATTGTGTTCAGACTGAAAAACTATGTCCAGATGCTTGAAAATAAAGGGCTATAGACTTACACAAATAGGCCTACTGTATGCAATGGTCAAAGCAACCCTTGTGTAAAATGTAAAATAAATTTTAATTAAAAGGTAGAAATATTAGTCTCTTTTAGGCAAGCAGCCTATTCAAATAGTTTAATTTTTTTCCCTAATTTGACACGTCAATTTGACTAATTCCACAGTACAACGTGTAGGACAATAGGCTAAAATAAGCATCAACTTTAAGTAGCCAAAATGCATTGTCTATATTTAGGCTATAATTGTCAGGGGTTGAAAAACGAATATAGGCCTAAATGTGTTTTCATTTTCATAAACTACAGAAATAAACCGTTTAAAATAGATAAATAAAAGTTATTTTTATTATTTTATTTTTTTTTCTTTTTGAGTAAAACTAGTCAGCAGGTAGACAAAATTATCCTATGTTCAGCCAAGTGATTTAACTACTATAGGCCTATAACAGCCTTCTATTCTGAATTCTCTGATCTGACAGGGATGCGTAAAATGTGCACAAATTTCTTTTCACATCAAAAAGTACATTTTCTTCAGTTGAGCTGGTTTCCCCTGCACTCACAGACGCAGGACTGTCCCCACTATTGCAGACATTGAGACTGTTCCCCGAAAGCGCGTTTGATAGGCTACGTCTGTGCCTTATTATGACTCGAGCGTGTAACAGTGTATGTGGAGAGATAACATCAACGCACAGAACCTCTGCTCTGTGCTACTCGCGGATCCGATCTCTCCTCTTTTCCTCCCTCCCTAAGTTCCGTCCCCCCTTGCCCTCTGCCGCTTCGGTGTTTGGGGAACTTCCCAGACACTGCTGCCCCCGGTCCCCAGTTTAGGAACCCCGGCAAAAACCACCACCAGACTTCCACCTCCTCCCGTGTGTGCGCGATGCCTGTCTCCTTCCCCTCTCCTTCTCCCCTCTCTCAAGTGGGTGGTCCGGTGCGTTTTCTATTGGGTGGGGTCCAATGTCTCGAAACCCTCCTACTACCCTCCGTTCTTTCTTAAAACATGCTTTAATAGAGAAAGTATGCAATGCGCTCCCTAGCCCTGCCGCCGCTGCTACAACCCCCCTCCCCATTATATACTGCAACTGGGGGCTTCGTGACTCGGCGTTAGGGGGGATCGCACACATTTCCGATTAGAGAGAGAGGGAGAGAGAGAGGAGGGGAGGGGAGCGAGATTATACCATTTCGTACCAACCAATGAGACGCTCGATACGCTAAAACATTTTCAGAGTTGCACGGAGTGAACAGAGCCCTGCAAAGTTCAGGTGAAACTGCTACAAGGTAAGTCCGCAAACTGGGAATGTGCTCGTTTTGTGCGCGGTGTGGGATATTAGCGCCAGTGCCTTAGTGAGCGAACAAGACTAGCCTTTACAAGAACATGGAGCCTATAGCTTCTATGCATTTGCCGTTTCAGAGAGGAGAGGTTTTTGCACCTGTGTTGTCCATAGCTTTTGTCCCTATGTATGGTAAAGTCTGCTCCGATTCGCGTTCTGTTTACGCGCTATCACCACCGCAAAAACCTACTTATTTGATCGGGATTGCCCAAGGAATGCAAGCTTACGCAGGGTGATGTTGTTCAATGCAGTGACTTTTAAACCACCTCGAGCTGTTGTTTCACCTCTTTAACATGTGCCACCGACTTCCTAACTTTGGCTAACCACAACTATTGCTTTTCGTAAGCTCCAGGAATGTCCCGTGCACCCCTTCGCCAGCGTAAAAGAATGTGTTTTTATGATTGGATTTACCGCCCATATGCCAAAAGTACATTGAGTCCCGTCCCTAAGTGGAAAACACTTTGGACTTATGTGGACTTCGGTGCTTCTGAGAGCTACATTCATCCGTTGGGTTCAGTATACGAGCGTAAAGCCAGAGTGCGTCCCCGTTTACTTTTATAAATTCTTCGAGGACGTACATTTCTTGAATTACCCCCACACTTCCGGTCTGAACGCGGTCGTTTTGATAGGCTGTGTTGGCAATTAGTGTTTGGCACATTCCTGAAGGGTTATGCTCAAACACCATGGCGGGGTATATATGCCTATATAGACTGTTACTGTTTCCAATAACAGAGCTAAACTTTGATTACGCACGAGCGTGTGTAAAAATAATAACATTTCAACTAATTCAAATTGGAAACTACTTTTGGCTTACATACCGGGTTCTTGTTATTTTCTATTCCAAATATTGCATCAAAAACAAATATGTTTCTGCAGTTAATTTATTAGGGTGTTTTATATTTGGTTGGTATTTGCTATTACCCTGTAGCTACATATACTAATTCTAGTCATTTATGGTGACAGTTATTAAACTACTGTTATAAAATAATTTGTTCTTTATTGATTTGTATTGTGTTTGAGGAGCCATTCATGATTGTCCCCGTGACAGTCTCTCAGAGCATCTGCACGATCCACACACGGGGCAGATGGAGGGACACATTGTGGAGATTGGGAGATTGAGTTGTGAATATCTGTGCTACTTTTAGTGCCTGTGCACCACTCTCATGTTTCTCTGCATTTGCCAGAGCCCGATGTGTATGTTTCCGAATCTGATGGTGCCAACACTTGTATACACGCAATTCCCACGCTTCCTATGAGGCTCCAGTCAATTAGTCTATTATATGAAGTGATTATAAGAACCATTTAAAACACGTGGGCTGCACAGTATATTCATGTTATATTATTGCAAAGCTGCAGTCACCAATTACCAAAATGTGTATTTCTATCTAACAAATCCAGTGTCTCTCAAATTCTGGTATATGTATACCACTTTTGGCACACAGACTGCCTCTGCTTGTATGCAGGATCCTCTGAATTTTGAATGTTTCTTTTATTTAGTGACAAATCTATAAATGTTTTTTTTTTGTCTTCCTTTGGGGTTAGAATTAGGACTATGTTATTCATGGTTTAATCTGTAACAGCATTTTGAGAATTTTAGAACCCTATCGGTGTGACCTAGAGTCTGAATTGAATTACAGGGTTGTGGGTGGAAATAGGGGATAGGTGAAAACAGGAATTTTCTGAGCACGGCAGTCCTGGAATGCAGGAGAAAACAGGAATTCTCAAACATGAATGAATCAATAAAGATACAACTTTGAGTAAGATAATGAGTGAACACTGTTGGAGTTAACAAGGTAAAACTGTAGTCCATTTTGCATAACATGTCCCCTTTAATAAGACAAAAAAACACAGGCCATATCCACTTTGGTCCCTGATATATTTTCCTGTCGTCTTCAGCTCTGGTTGGTAGGTTCCCCTCCCTCTCTTCTCTGGGCCGCTCCTCAGGTTTGATGCACAGACATTGTGAAGGACTTGATCAGGCATGAGTAACAGTGGGACCAAAGAGCCCTCTCCGGAGCCCAGCCCTGTCCCAACTGCCCCAGAAGAACCCCAACGCAGGGGCAGGGGGCGGCCTCGCAAGCAGCAGCAGGTAACTGAACTCTGACTCTACTGATTAACTAATATGTGTGAAGAAGACTGGGAAATACAGTTAATTTATTAACTGAAAATTAATGGCTTATGACCAAATACTGCTGTCTTGAACAAAGCTTTGCATGTATATTCCCAGCAATTCCTTGAAAATAAGAAGTATTCAACCAACATTTTAATCACATCTTCCTTCACCCTCACATTCACCCACAGACAACAGAGCTATCAATAAGTTAAGTGAATAAAAGAATGAGGTCCTTTTCGTCAAGAACTGACAAATCATGGAAAAAGTTGAGAAATTTAATTGTTTTGGAAAAAACAAAAACCCAGTTACCCACATCAACACAGAGCAGAAAAGGAAACTTAAAATTTTCCAGGTTTTAAAAAGTGATGATAGTTTGAGGCATGAGCTTTTCTTGTAATTATGGATAACATGGTATTTTTCATAAGATATGTCCCAAAGGAAATGTTTAAGCAGATTGTTTATATTTGTGGCATGGCCCATTATCCTGCTGTATTTATTCAGACACATCAAATAATTTGAAGATTAAAAGTAATTGCTGTAAGATGCACTTTCAATAATGTAAAAATGGAAATTCAGTCTCAGATGAATCTAGAATGTCATTACCAATGACATAAAATAGCTTTTCAGTTTTATTGCAAAATTGTTTTGTTGTAGCTGGCACCCCAAAGTGGGAACATCAATTAGAATCAAAACATAAACTTTTACTTTACATAATTCAGTGTATATTTGTAATTGTGACTAAATCAAAATGACTATTGTCTGGTTGTCTGCAGGGAGAAGCAATTGCTTCTAGTGGAATATTCCACAGTTTGGCATTAAATGTATTTATTCAGATACACACATTGCTCTAAAATTCCTTGAGGAAACTGCATTCCTACTGTGAGAACGGCCATATCACACAGACCTGACATGGCCTGATCTCGTTACCTGTTGTTTCTAAAGATTAATGCCATGCTGTGGAACATTCAAGACAACACTCTCCTTGAAATGTGACATAGTACACTTATGGGTTTTTAGCTTCCTTTTATACACACAATTTTGAAGACTTTTTCTCATTCAAAAGATACACTATTTTGTTTTAAACAAACGCTATAGCAGCAGCCTTTATTTTTTATCATTCTGAAACATATAGTTTTGCCTACCCCCATATCAGTTAAAGCAAGTCTTAACAAGGGCCAACACATTGCACAATAGTTATGATTGGACTACTATCCCACCAGACCAAGTAATAATTGGAAAAACCTGAAAACCTGTCATATGCACTTTAAACAGTACAGGCCTGTAGGATGTTGTGATGTCATGTGAGACCCAGGCATACTTGAGCAGTGTGGCTGAGCTGTTGTGTCTGTACGGGCTGCTGCTGGTGAGTTATAGCTTCCTATCGCTGCAGGAGCCTGTTGGACCACCGACTCCAAAGAGGCCGAGGGGAAGGCCCAAAGGCAGCAAGAACAAAGGGCCCCGAACTGCACAGAAGGTTACACACTACAACTTTACAGACATCAGTAATAGAAACTAAAGGTAGTAGTAGCAGTAGACAGAGAAGTAGTAGTAGTTGTTGTGGTAGGTGTTGTTCTAGTAAGACAGCGAGAATAAAGGATCCCAAACTGCACAAAAGGTTACACTCAATTCTACAACTCTACAAACATCATCAGTAGTAAGTGGTGATGGTATTAGTAGTAGTTGGAGGTGTAGTTGTAGTAGCAGTAATAGCACTAGTAGTAGTAGAAGTAGGAGTAGTAGTTGTAATTGTTGTATGTGACTAAAACAAATGTGAACAATTGCCCTATATTTAGTGCACAAAGTGTTATCATAACTGTAGCTTGAATAGCATATATTTACCATGACAGTTTTATTTGCTACTGTAGACCTGTCCTGTAATCACTACTTGCACTCACATTAGCACTGGAAACTAGCACGCTTGTTACAATCTGGCGTATTTACCACCAAAATATATTGTTCCCTAACCGTAATTTTATACACAGAAACATTCATATATGCTTACTAACAGATTGCAATAAATTGTTTGTATCTCTATTAATATAGGATTACAAGTATTAGTTAATTTGGTTTCAATTAACTTATATTTTTTTCTGTTTTGTTGATAGAAAGTAGAGCCTGCTGGGGAGCGAAGACCTCGAGGACGACCAAGAAAATGGGTATGGCTCAATCAACCCCACCCTCATGTTAAAATAAAGAGTTATTTACATTTTACATTTTGTATTGTATGCTCTTACAGCCACAAAAGGTTGTTCAAGAAGCAGCAGAGGAGCAGCAGGTGAGAGAAAAGAAAACTTAAAGCAGTTGTGTGGCCTAAATTAACCTCTCTATAAATGACTTTACTTGAATGAATGAATTACTTTTACTGTAAGCCCATATATACAGATTACTAATAACTAACCAGATGAAAAGAAGTCAGTTGGTGTCTGAGTTTAACCCTGTAGTTTCTGGTCTTTTTTGTGTCACTTGAAATTACTTTGATGATCTCATTTCACATTCAGATAAACTAAAACAAATCCACATAGAAAATCCCCAGCATTTCTGGTTAAGGTTTGTGTTTAGTCAAAAATGACAGATGACTTATGCAAATTAATACAGTATATTTCTCACAAACCTTCTATAAGCATCTATTACTACTACTACTATTACAATACATTTACATTCTTCATGAAACTGCATTTTTACCTCTCTTTTACCACCCACTGTTGTTGTTGTGTATATTGTTAAATGTGATCTCAGTGTAAAGGAAAATGCTTATCACTGATTCCAATACTAAACTTTTAATAGAAATACATTTTAACAATATCATACAATATAATACATTTAAAACTTAAAATACTGTAAGTTTATTTAATATTACCTCATGGTCTTGCACTAGTTCTAATAAAGATCATGGCCACTCAGGGAAGGTCCAATTTTACTGTATCTTTTACTAACTATGCATTATAAAATTACTATGAATAGAACCACTTATAGTATTGCTACTGTTACTACTACTACCACTACTACTATGACGCAATAAACTGCATTGCATGGTACTGCAGTTTTGTTGCAACCTGCACTTTCTCAATTCCAAAGTGAAATTTTGTACTTTTACCACAAGTCTAATACTCTCTAATACTCTAATAAGGCTAGTAGGACTACAATAGCATGTATCTGATAATGGTAGATTATGGATTTTATTGAGGAAAAAGAAAATCAGTTTCAATGTGTTCAATGTAGTGAGTTAATGTTAATTCAGGGTCCTGTCTGAACAAGCGGTGAATATTTTGCGATGTGCATAATCATTGTTGCCAAATGCAGATCCCTATGCACTCATTTGGAACAGCCTATTCACATGTACTGTATTTCTTATAAAGGTTAACTGACATGTTTTTGCTTGTCTATTACTTAATGTATTCTCATTGTTTACTACTGACAAATAAAGAGGTTTATTGACTTGGATAAGACTTAAGGCAATTTACAAAAACAGTAATGATAACGGTAGAATTCTTCCCATGCATTAGTCGTGACTAATTGGTGAAGACAAAATAACCAGAATCAGTTTAAGAATTGCTATGTTCAGGGGTAAAATGTCATAAGTACCAGTGTTCCTGTTTCTCACAATGACAATACAATAGTCCCATTAGTGACTCCTTGTGGTTGTAGTTAGTATGTTTATGCATTTATTTGTTCATCAAATCAGGCCAAAAATGTTGCAGTTCTTTCTTATTTTTTTTTAAATCCTATAGTTTGCAGTCATGCTAACAGTAAATGATGAAAAGACATTGTAATATAATTTAGATACTAATTAAACTTATTACAAAATCTTATTACAAAATTAAACTTGAAACTTTCTTACAATTTAATACTTTATTTCTCCCATCCACATACAAAAAGGCATATTCAGAAACATATATTTTGTATTCTTGGAAATTCACTTGAGTTACACTTCTCAGATACACCTCCAGACATCCTTTAGTGCTACTAGATGTGAAGAAATTTCATAGATTTTAGTTCTGTTGTTCAACATTGCACAACATTTCTTCAAAAACCCAAGGCATGCCACTTCACTAGATGTCCCTGTTGTTGGCCCGGGTGCGCCCTCTCCCCCCGGTGCTACATGAACTGAAACCGTTAGCGACACGCACATAAAGGGGAAGAATGAGTCAATGTTGAGAGGAAATCTGATACATCTGCTGTGTGGCGCGTGTCTTCTTGGTTTCCTGATTTAACTGTCTCTTCCTAACGCCGTCCCAACGCATTCACACACTCATTCATGTATCCCAATGAGTGTTCTCATAGAGATTTCACACAGCAGATTATGAGGCCTATTGGCTATTGTCGCTCATGTACAAGTCAGTGAAAATTTTTTTATAAAAATTTACTATGGAGACCTTTGTTTAGGACAGAGGTTCCCAAATGGTGGTCGCGAGGGACTGAGCTGATTGTACAACATTGTATTTAACTGTATATTTGATTGAAACCAACTCCAATAACCTAAAAATTATATTAACAAATATTAAACCTGATATTACCACTAGGTAATATCATGATATCGTATTATCAAAGTTCTCACAATAACATCGTGGACCACCACAATATATCGAATTACAAGTCTCTGCTTAAAATAAGAGTTATAGTGCCGCAATACCTAAACAAAAAACAGAGGGAACTACATAGACCATGATCCTTTGCTCCATTTCAGTGTAGACTACATGAAGAAGTAACAGTTTTAAGCACTTTTACGTCTTAGTTCTTTGGATTTGGTCTTGTCAACGCATTTTAAGAGGAAAAAGTAGCATATTAACAGTTTTAGCTCTTTAGCCTCCATAAAATATAGCAATAAATATACCGTGATATGTATATCATGAAAATATCATACAGAGAGATTTGAATATTGTTACATTCGTAATCGTGAGCTCCCCACCATATCATGAGCTTTCCCATGATATCGCAATAAATATCGTACCGTAAGGATCATACCATGACGACATCGTATCTTCAGACTTGGATATTGGTACACCCCTACTTACCACCTAAAATTGTTATTGATTGCATAATTATTTGGGGGTCCATGCCATAAAAGACTTGGAACCCTGGTTTAGAATGTAGAGCAAAGTATGTTTCCATAGAGGTATTCAACCCATTGCACAAGGTCCAAAATGTATTCTTCTACATCTACTTACATTTTAAAGTTCACTCATCAAAAAACATTTTAAAGTTTTGAACATTTAAAATTTTTTAAACAGTATTTTATGAGATCAGGGCTGAATTCTGGATCTCAATAGAACTATCTTGTTTTAATGAAAGTCAAATAGCCTAAATGTTGTCCCGGTATCATTTCAGGAGGAGGAATCTGAAGAGGGTCCATCGCAGTTCGAGTCTGCGTCATCTCAGGATCCAGAGGAAGGGCAGTAGACAGTTCTACCTCAAGGTTTGGCCTCAAGCAAAGGGGGGACATTGGACCCCCTTGTGTGGCGAGGATTCAGGAACACACACACAAAGACGAATATCATGGTTTCTTTACACTTAAAAACTCAAACTGAAACATTTTGGATGTCAGTCGCCCTGTATGTATGCTAAAGGGGGACAGGGAGAAGGGTGGGAGCTGGGGCTAACAATTGGAGGAGGGTGCAGGGGAAAAAGGAACCAAACATTTATTTTGTTTTATTTTGAAGTGTCACAAACCCTTGATTAAAATGGGAGCAAGACACGGACATCTGTATCAATGCTACAATTTAAACATGGTGCGCTGAAGTCTTTCTATTGTCAGCCTATGTGAGAGGTTTGGTTTCTTGTGTCATGGATTAACGGCGATTGCTATGAAATCTTAAGACAATATTTTTAATAGTTTAATAGTAGAGTCCCTATAAATAATATAGCCTTATATATGGAATACATTCTGCAAAGAATAGTTTTGTATCCTTGAATAGTAGATTAAAAAGTGATATTTTTGCCTACAAAGTATAATAATAGTAGTAATAATATATACTGTATCTTCATATTTTTATACTTGAATGCAGATTTTGTCTGATCATTATTGACATGTACTCCCTTAAAGCAGACCTATTATGCAAAATCAGCTCTTTAGAGCTTTTAACCATGTTGTTGTTGTTTCCCCTCACCATTTACTTACCCAAATTTGTATTTGTTGTTTGAGTTTTGTTTTGTTGAGTTATGTTTAATCACTTATTTTCAAGATATTGCTGATCAATCCCCCCTCTCATGTCCACTGGCATATGCCCGCTGCTCTGTACCCTCTTCGTTCTCCAATTTTATTTTCTTAATTGGTAATATGCATAGGATTCAGCAGCGTTGCCTAGTCATTTTGGTACAAATGAAAGAAAATGAGCTGCTCACTAGTGTTATCTGCAGCTATCCATAGAAGATGTCAACTCTTTGTTGTGATGATTTTTACAGTGACATAAGCTCCCATTCAGCATCGCAGTTTTCTAGCTTGGAAGTCAGCGAGCTTGTTTGTTTTATTAAGTTGTTTTAGATCAATATTGTTTATTATTTAACAATATGAAACATATTATTAAAAATGGGTGTCATAGATTAAGCTATATAGCAGACACAAGCACAATAGGTCTTCTTTAATTGACCATAATCTGCTATACCAGCTAGTAGATGTTTGTTCCTGGATCATGGGGTCTCTTAAGTTAAAACTAAAATATTACAAGATTAAGTGTAAGATTACTATATTTAACATGTACTTGATAAAGTGATCTATAGTTTCAGACCATTTCAAGCTGCCATTAAAAAAAAAAAGTGGTTATGGAAGTTAAAGGTGCTCTATGTAACTTTCCTCGTGGAAGCTTCATCACCTGCTTGTCCCCTTAGAGATTTTAATACTTTGTTTGATGTTCCATGGCATGGTGTTAAACATATCCATCTCCATGGAAACAAGCAGGTGGCACATGTAACAAGTTACAGATCAGATTTATTTTTTAATTTTTTATTTTTTGCAAGAATACATCTGCATTTGAATAAATGCAGCAATTAATGCCATTCTGTGGAACATTCCAGGCAAAGCAATGACATCTCCATAGAGACAAGCGAGTGGTGGAAGTTCTAAGTTATGTGGTGTACCTTTAAACTTACAATACAAAGGGATATTGGCACAGTAAATATATATTTTAAGTCTTGTTTTTTTTGTATATTTTATCTTATTTTGAAATCAAACCTCTCACATTTGCTTTGTCAACATTTGGAGTTGACCTGTCATTTTACCACACTCAGGATTGTGCTCTTACCGTGCTTTCTTCCACCCCAATTTGAAACCATTTTTGAAATATTGAAAACCTCAGGTACAGAATATTCAGGAACATGTTGCCAGTCTACTCAGTCGTGATGATTGTTCTGATGTTGTGTTTGACCAGATTTGCCTCGACACAATGACCTCACATGAACCTCAGTCTCATCAGTCATTCTACCTCACTGTACCTCACACAGACTCCCATACAGCATCTGTCCTGAACACATGTACTCAGAGAAAAGGCTGCAGATCAATACTATACATCCACTGGACATATTATTAGGTACACTGCTCTGATGATTGTGAATGGAAATATTTCAGTCGTGATAGCAACTCAGTGGGGCATTTACATGTTTTGAAGCCAGGTCTTATAATGAAGTATTAGACTTGTTTGTTTAGTTGTTTCCTCATGCTGGGTCATCTAAGACATACGCTTTTACAATACTTTCTTAAGATGTATAGTCTGGAGCCCGATCCTGTCTTGTGTTGATTTCTAATGGCCATGATTGAAAGGTGGAGTTAAAAAAAAGAAAGATATAAAACTAATACAGAGAACTGAAAAACACTCTTACTAAACTCTGTAAATCTGAGGTAAAATAAGTTATATAGTACTTATTTCTGAATGATACAAGGATATTTGAGAGATGTGTTCTGCTTCTGTGATTGGTACAGACCCTGTTGCATTCAAACATAAAGGAGAAGGGAGGCTAGGAGATTGTTGCCTGTTTCACTTAATGCAATGGAGGCCTTTACCAATGTTGTCTGTGCCAATGGGGCCAACCTGCTGGAAAAGTAGAAGGGTGCAGTGTGGTCTTTGGGGGCCCATCTCCAGATCTTGAACTACGATCAAGAGCAGGCCTACCTCATTAGGGCCCACTGCACATTAGGCACATTTATTGCTAAAGGGAAAGCCAAAGTGCCCACAGTGTCCACAACGTTCCTCAAACTTTTTTCTGACTTATGACGCATGTTTGTCTTGACTGCGCACCTAAATGCCCTGAGTTGCTGTCACATGTTTTTTTTTTTTTTTTTTTCAAATATTTGCATGATCAATATAATGTTCTCAACAGACATACCTAATAATATGGCCAGTAGTGTACACACAACCAAGACATTACACTCCTTGGGGGAATTGCAGCCAATGGTTTACAATGCCTTAATGAAATACAATATGTTTTATTTAGGGTGTAGTAGTTCTCTATGTTTATTTTGGGTCTGTTACTTTTATTTTTCTCATTACTGCTTCATGTATTCTTTGATTACTACACTGTAAAGGTTACGCAGTTCATGTGATTGAAAAGCCAGCCGATATCAACACAGTGCTGAAATACATGACAGTAAATCACAAATGTTATTAGATTCCAGCTTACCTGCTTATCATATCATAGTGTATTATCTGTGCATTGGTAACACTTTATAGTAACTACACTTTAAAAAGCTCATAAACCATGAAAAAGAGACTGAGGAATGATTCAGGCTTATTAAATACTTAATTAATACCTTAAGTCCTAACCTTAAGCCCTTAAGAAGTTACTAAACCTGAATCATTTGTAATAAACTACTTGCTCATTATGAATTTATTTGCTCATGTTTTATTAAGGCTAATTAAGGTGCAGTTATTATAAAGTGGTCCTGCCCATTTTATTATTCCTTTTCTATTATGTTAGAAAAACAGTTCAGTCCTAGGATATCTAATCGTTATCATAAATCACCCTTCGAAATAGATCTTATCAATAACCTGCTTAGGTAGTTGTTTCTATTAAGTTGGTTTGTCTACAGCTCTTGTCAACATTGAATTGATAAGGGTGGCAATTCAAGAATAGCTAGAAAAACAAATGAATAATAGAAATAGCTACCTGCAGTGACTTGAATAATACTACAAACAATCTATGTATACTTTTAACAAGCTGAACTTTTAATGAGCTGAACTGGTAAGCTGAATTTTTGCTCAAAATTTCTTTTTAATTCTCCCATGTATGTTTCACCAGATGCCCTACCAGACACACCCTCCGTTTATCCAGGCTTGGCGTTGGCACAAAGCATACTCAATCTGGCACAGTTATGTTTCCGAAAATATATTTCAGCATTCTTGTTGTGGCAAATTGATCTAGTCTTGCTTTTTAAAAACTAAATAATTGTGCATTTCACTCAATTTACTTATAAACTCACCAATAATTGTTTTTTACCTCTTGACAATTTGCAAAATGTAATGAATTGAAAATGTTTTTATAACCAGGGAATTTTACCTCTTATCACTATTGTACTGGGCTCACAATAATGTTTTTAGTTATATCCGACTCATGTATTTCAGCATTGTCCCATTTTATCATTTGGTTGCTGGATGGACGAGCACTCACGCAGGGTTGTTTTCTTGTTCAAACTGCATTGACGTATTTTTACATTGCCCTCTGGACTACCTCTGCAAAAAAGCAAACACGCCTGGATCACTACACAAAAATGATCCAGTTTTGACATGAAATAATGCAAAAAACATGTACAACAAACCTCACAATACTGTAATATTTTAATACACGTAGTCCAGTCATCTCATCTCGCTGCAGTGAAGTCGCTTGAAGGCAAATCTTAATTTAAAACTACAGCTATCAGTCAGTGTTTATTATTTTACATAATGTGTGGTGCATATTTACTCTTGTTTTTGGGGACAATTTTAATGTTCTGTGATTTTTAAAACTGATAGTGATGTAGTGACATAAAGCATACTTGATCCAGTTTCAACTCTTGAATGAAAACAAAGTTGAAAAAGAAAAACTTGTAACTTGAGAAATCATCTTTTATGCCTTACTCTTAACCGCGCGTATTTTAGTACTATATATGTTATTGATATGTCCTCATCCACTTACAACTCACCAACCTGTGATATATATTTTGTTATACTTCGTAATAACCATGTGATTTGTGTTATTCTGCTTCTTTTATTGCTCATCAATAAAATATCACACTTATTGAAGTGGCCTCTGAGATTTTGTATTGTTCATAAAAAAGGAAACCAACTTTTACAGTGCGTCCCCATTTGCCAAAACAAAGTCTAAACTGAGACAAAACCAGGACTATAACAGGACCAAACCAAGTCTACATTAGGACTAAACTGGGCTCAAACCAGGACCAAGTGTGAAGTTGAACACACCCACAGAGTAAACAGTTCAGAATAAATGATGATTTTCAGATTCTACAATGTGATGATGTCATACTTCCAGATGGGGGCAGGAGCCAGTTTGACCCATTGATGAAAGGGTATTTGAAGCAGAACTGTCTAATTGGTAAATAGATAAAGGTTGGACCTGATCACTTTTATTAGTAGTTATACCCCAGAGCCCCACAACAAAAGTCTGCATTCTAATTTTAGCTGCCCCCACATGTATAATTTGACTACTGAATGATCTGATGTGAAACCCAGCAAAACAATCAAATCGTAAACATGACTGCCTGCTCATACCTGAGTCAGTGCAGGTAAGGTCAGTTGTGTTATTACTGTAACATTACTGAGAATATGTTATGGGAAGATTTGCCTGTAATTGTTACTATTATACTATTATTCTCATGCATTTCCATAATATGGTTCAATGTGTATGGTGACATTGCCTCTAGCTCTACTAATTAAAAATGAAGAAATAATGATGTTGATGGTTGTATGTGACTGTTTAACATTATCAGTGTCTAAGAGCAGGATGTATTGTATTGTGCATAATAAGAATAAAGCCAACAAAAGGGACAATAGTGGCTCTCAGCATCACCTGTCCACAGTTCACCGGGTACATCATCGAGGAAGGAGTCATAAGTGAATTTTGCAAATAATATTTGGATGAATATCAACCACCTTCTGATAAACAAATAAATGCAGTTGACAACTCCAAATATTTCCTGTATCCTCTTAACAATTGACTAAAATTAACCTTTTCTAGATATTAAAAATCTGCAGTTGAAACATGGCCTAAATAATACTTTAATATCCAGTAATCAAGTCTGGTAAAACAACACATTTGCAAATACCATCTAGTTATTTATTGAGAGATAACATTCTCACATTGGCACACTGTCTAAAAAGTTACACTGTGTTGCTTTATTGAACAAAATCAACTCAAGAAGACACAGATTTTCATTCAAGCTCGACTGAGGACAAAAACACTAAAAGAAAGAAATGTACACTCCCTTTTATCAAATACAGAAGCTCTGGAGAAGTTAAAGACATGAAAAAGTGCATCACGACTGAGTTTATATTGTGAAGATATAACAGTGCAAGATCGTACAGAATGTGATGCCTTGTGACTTCTAACATGCACTTCCCTGTAATCCAAAATACATTAGGGTGTATTAGGTCATGTTCACCTCTAGAATGTGATGTCATTATTTCAGATGGAGGGCAAGGGCCTTTATAACTCTATGGAAGATTCATTGTTATCGCTATAAAGAAATAGCTAAACAGAAAATCCACAAACACTGAAATAGATTATGATTTTTAATATAGATTTTTGGGTCTAGAAACTTGCCTTCGCTTGAACTGGCAGAGAAGACACTGAACTTTTTGTTTCATGTGGATAGGCCCTGTAATTACAAATATATTCACCATAAACCAGGACATACATCTGCAGTTTGACAGTTGAAAAGCTAATTCTACCATAGAATTCAGACCTGCCCTCCAAGTCAGTTTGAAACTATATATTCTAGTATGTTGTGATATCATGTGAACTCAACCCATATGACCGCAGCTCATTAAAAGTTCAGTCTTGTCCCTTCTTGTGAGAAGCTCTGTGTGAGGCCAGTGCTGTTACATATCTACTACATATTGTAGATAAATGTAGTAGATGGAAGTTTCTTGTTAAGCGTTGAGAGCTTTGGCTACATCTGTGAAGACCAGTCGACTGGGCCTCTGTGTCGTGCCCTGGGAGGTTGTCAGAGTCTGCAGGAGAAGAGAAACAGATGTAAAACATATAACATCAATACATCCATTTTATTCCGCTCAAACACTTTTTAAATTTTTTTTTTTATTGTTGAATAATTTGAAATAAAGTTTGGAAGCTCTTGTACAATTGTCCACAGATGGTGAAGACATTGTTCACATTGTTGTGACATAGTAATAGATTTTTTTTTTTCAATACTTAAAGCAATCCTTCTCAACTTTGGGGTCAGGACGTACTCCAAATGAAGGCATGTTAATTGCTCCTTTATACATATTTTATAATCGTTATCGTTGCTATAACATCTTTATTAACCAGAAAATAAATATAAAGATCAAGAGCATACTTGTTGGCATATTTTAATAATCTGGAAATAGTCTGGAAAAGAAAATAAGTTGTTTTCTTAAATGGTATGAGGAAATGCTGCTAAAATGAATATAGATATGAATGCAAGGTAAAGCATTTGGAATAACAAAGATGGTTTATGTACAACCACTATGAAATATTATATATATATATATTTTAATTGAAATGTGAAATAACAAGGAGTGTGTAGGATCAGAAACATGGTTCATACAACACACAGATGATACTTTACCCTGCTTAATGGTTACCATAACACCACTGTCACAACTTCAAAAGAAATACAAAAATAAATGATTAAAAACTGATACTTTCACACATTAACAAAAAAGTAAATTAACTGCTTACAAAATGTACACAGAGTTAAAATAATACAGGACATATATATATATATATATACACACACACACAACAACACACTATAATTTGAAACCTGCTCTCTCTCACCTTGGCATTGGGTCCGGTGATGGTCCCATCCCGCCCATGGTCAAGCAGCTCTTGTTCCAGCAGGTCATCCTGTTCCTCTGCAGGGTCAAAGTTGTACATGGGCATCAGCTGGTGCCTCAGCTTCTCTAACCTGCAACATCAAATCAGAAATTATATGTATGTTTATTTGATTTACAATTGGGAAAGTGCTATTGATAACAAGCACAGACTACACACACATTACATACATAAACAGACATTAAAGATTAGTGAAATACAATATATGCATAAATAAACACCAAGGAAATTCAACAATATGTAGGTGAATCAGTAAAATGTGTAAAATAAAAGAAAGCATGCTAAATGATGAGAATGTGAGGGTGGATACAACCTGAAATCTACACTGTAAACAAGCAACTTACCTTTTCCTTTTTCGAATATACAACATCTGGAAAAGAAAAAAAAACAATTAAATAATTTGCACTGATAACAATAATGGGGATGGTGTAACTTTAGTTTATGTAGTTCACATAGTTAGATCATAAAAAATCGACATATTTTGGACACAGTTGTTATCAAGTTACCACCTTGAGAATGCCCAATCTCAGAAGCTAAGGATGGTGAGCTTGGTTATTTCTTGAAATGGACACCGCTGGGACTACTAGGTACCACAGTGGGGCTGTTGTTGTGTCCTTGGGCAAAACACTTCATCCACCATGCCTCCAGTGTATGAAGGAGAGTGTGTTTGCAACATGTATGTTCATTTATGTACACTTTCCCAACTAAATAAACTAAAAATAATAATAGTTCATTGATAACATAGGTTTCTAAAAAGCAGTGATTCTCATCTCATCCCATCTCTGTGGTATGGGTGTGTGATATTTAGGTGTCCCAGACTAGTCTAATTTTACTTACTTTAACTTTATTTACATTTTTACTTACTTACTTTTTTAAAATAGTCTGAGTCTGAGTATGTGGTGTGCAACTGGTCATTCATACATGTCTGTTACTGGACAATATTTGAATATGCTCCATGTGAAGTGCTTACAATTGCCACAGCTAATCCAATAACAGTGATGATTCCGAAGGGCAGCAGTACCATCCCCATTCCCGACGCCTCTGCTGCTGCCGCGTTTGGGAATGCTGTAGCGTTGAAGGCTGTCTCATTGGTTGCTATGGTAACAGTCATGAGTGTGGTCCGTATGCTTTCTCTGGCCGCGGTGGACAGGGCCGGGATGGGGACAGAGCTGGAGATGGGAGGGGGAGAGGTGGAGAAGAGACTGGGGGTGCTCTGAGCTGCAGTAGTAGCAGACATGGTCCAGAAGTCCAGTCCAGAAGGTGGGATGAAATAAAGTTTGGAAGTTCAACTTGTACAATTGTCCACAGATGGTGAAGACATTGTTCCCGTGAGTGGCTGGCGCCTAGAGGGTGTCTTTTCCATATGATCCTTAAATATACAAGAAATAAATCTGTTATTCATTATTGATGTTAGTCACTGTTGAGAGTGCCAAAAATGAATCTATTGTTTCTGAAGATTGGAAATTGTCTAAAGATGTGTTCACAGTTGTCCTGGTTTGGCCCTAGTTGAGGTCAGTTTAGATCCAATGAAGACTTTGGTCCAGGTTTAGTTCCAGGTTTAGTCCCACTTTTGATCTGGTATTTGTACAAAAGTACCCTTATTTTTTTATTAATGAATTAATCTGCCTAATAACAATAGGAAAAACATTACTGTCATTTTCAGACATACGGTAATATGATGAACTTGTGTTTGACCCTTCCAAATTGAATGAACCTCTGATCTTAGTTTTCCTGTATTTTTACATACTCTACTTTATACTATCAGTTTATAATCATTCCTTAATTAAAAATCTGATATTTGTCTTTTTAATTTTCTTTACATATTGGTACTGCCTCTACATACATGTGTTACTACTGGGAAATAAACCATAATTTCAAAAGAGCCAGGGTATGTTATAGTATATATAAAATGATTGGTTGAGGCTAGCCCTTAATATCAACACAAAGATACTAAGAACAGCCCAAGTAATCAGTTGATAACAGAATTATTAATAGAAATATAACGGTTTACACATTGTACTCTCAGTTTTACCTTCCTCTGGTCTGTTACTGTTACCCGGTTGTGGTAGGATGTGGTTATAAATGATACAAGATGCCAGGAAGAATAATGGTATCTGCCTAAAATAAAGAAAAAAAAAACCCACTTTAACTGTACAGTGTTCCCCCCTCCAAAAATAGATTTATAATAGTAGTGATTTTTTTTCCTCTTCGTTTTGGGGTTAGGTATGTAGTGACACAGGAAGGCAGTGGACATATGATCCAACCCTTTTTCAACTTTGTGCCTGCTTGCGACCTTAATTGGTACCATGTGTAGCAAAGGCAAACAACCAAAAGACTCATTCAAACAAGCAAGCCTCCACAAATGTACACAGCTAGAATAGTACATTGGCTTTTGCTCAGAGACGTGATATTTATAGTCAACAGCCAACACTAATGCTAATCCTATTGACATAGAGTGGCAGTGAATGTGTGTGCTGTATGAATTATGAATGAAAAAATGCATTATACTTACCTTCAAACATAATATGCAGAGCTATAGAGAAAATATCATTGGAGGGAGCATGTCTTCTCTGTGTCTGTTGCCCCTCCTCCTCAGCTTCTCTTAGCAATGCAGGTACAAGCTGTTTACAATGAAGATGCAGCCATTTCTTCCACAACAGATGCCACAAAGAGAGGTAATAGAACGCTGATAGCTGCCACCGGATACCAGCTTGGTCTCAGATTGCTAACCTTAACTCTACGATCCCGTATTTCTTCCCCTTGTTCTTGTATTTCACACAACAGTGGCTGCTCAAAGGGATGCTGCTGCAACCACAGGATCACTGCTGACCAAGAACCCACCCCCACTGACACCTGATTGGCCAGAAGGATTCTAAAGGGGGATTCTGATTTGCTGTTATGGATTGTCAATCTGGCTTTGCAGGGATGAGGATGGGATTTAATGGCTCTGCACACCAGATGCTGTCAGGCCCCTTGTGAATGACTGCATCCGGGTAGTAGGTCTATGGAAATTAACCCTATCATGGTTTTATCCTCTACCTATGACCTCAAAACACTTAAACGCCATATTAAAAGGTTATCCAAACACTTGTGTTTCAACCTTAATGTTGATTTATTATCAATTTGCATGGATTTGTTGGGTCTTGAAATAGTAACAAAGGCAGAGCATCTTCAGAGGGCTTCAGCTCATTCTGAACAGGTCTCCAGTCATCATGGCAACAAATTCTGTGGATTTAAAGGTTGAGATGATAAGAATGCACAATATTGTAGGGCATCTGTTGTATTATGTAACCATTGCAATACAATGCAAAACAGCAGTTGAGTGATTGTAGCAAAGCATTTTCATTTCTTATGGTCATTAGGTTATGACAACATACTTTTTGTGGACAAGGTCAATGTAATGAAGAGGAGGAGGATCCTATAGCAAATTAATGAATGCCAATTGCTATAGGAGGCAGACTATTTGCTATGGCACTTGATGAGATATTCTAAGTGGAAAAAATGTTGTTTCATTCATGCATATTTGAGCAACCCTTTGTTATTAGTCTGTCTACTCAAAATGCTCTGTTCCACCCTATGATGTCATGTAGTGGTAGTTTTCAAGTTAACAGTTACCTTTAACCTTTTACTTAAGTATAGACTGGCAGTTATAGGATTGAAATAATTCATGTGATTCTATTGAAGGTGTATGGAGTTTAAAAACACAGTAAAGCGCTTCCTGTATTACCACATGACAACAAAAGTTGGAACAGAATGTTTTAGTTTAAAACATAGATCAGACATAGATAACAATAGATCAGAAAATAGCATAATATGGGCCCTTTAAACATAAGGCGCATGTGATTCTTTAGTATTAATATTAGGGTTTAGTATCAGAATTTTCTTTATCATGGCAATATCTGTCAGAAAAATCAGGGAGGTAGATATTTTGCCAAAATCCTTCCTAATATTCAACCCCTTCGTCCTGATTTTAGAGCCTAGGCCCATTACTGTTAAACTCACCTTCATAATCAATGGTCCCATCTCTGTCTTTATCGGCTTCTTTCATCATGGCCTCTGCTTCCACCTCATTCAGAGGTTCTCCAGCATTTGTCAGGACATATCTGTAACACAAACCAACTGTATTGAGAAAAGGACTTGTAAATTCTGGACTGTAAATTCTAAATACATTATAGATGTGTCAAGATTATCCAATTAATCAACTATTGTGACTTTTCAGAAAAACTAAAATAAATAATCACGGCAAATCGTAGTTTGAATTAAACCTAGTATACGATTAAAACTTTTTTGTCAGGCTGTTTAAATCACAACAGAAAGTGTGATCTTGTCAAGCTGGTCGCATGCAAGAGGAATTGCAATCTACTAAACATTACAGTTTTTGGTAATATTATCAAGAATTGTCAATAATCTTAAAATCTTGATATTTCTTCTCACAATAATTGTACCACAAAATTTGATTTATGGGGTAATTATGGATAGAATGTAATAATCAGTTAAACTAAATTATTAAAGTGATCCACTACATCTACTTGCAAAGCACTAAAATCAATCCATATGTTTAAATTTTTTATGCCTAAGAATATATTTGAAAACGCATCATGTCATAATGAGTAGTGATTTTGCATGGAGGTTTCTACTATAACTCAATGATTCTCAAACTGTGGTACACAAACTCTTTTAAGTGGTACACAGACACCTCTTCTGTTCTTGTGCTTACCTAATTTAGAGTAAATTTTTTCTCCTTTTCTTGGTTAGAACTACTGTGGCAATGGTGATGTAGTTCTGACCTGATTTACCCCAATTTTATACCCAGAAAGAAAAGACCAGGTTTACATCTTGTTGGATTTAGCAGGCACTTGGATTATTATTATGGTAAAAGATAAGAAAAAGGTAGATTGTATTATAATGTGATGAGAAAGTATCATAGTTCTCTGATGGTTGACTTATTTTGTTATTTTTTGTAAAGTTAGGGCATATTCAAAAATGCTTTTTACAACATGTTTCTAAAAAATCTGCCCACATTTCAAAAGTGTAAACAACTAAAGTACATTACAAAACAGTGGATTAATAGCTGAAGTAACTTTTTGCCCAATTTCTTACTTGAGTGTGTTCCAGTCGATGTATCCTTTGGCCTCTTTGTCGAATACTTTGAAGGCTGCTCTGAGTTCGGCGTCTTGGTTCTTGGTGCGTTCATGGTACAGCGCCATCAGGGCCAGGAAGCTGTCACAGTTAAACACTCCCCTACCTTGACACATGGGAAGACATTATATATGTCTGTACATTTTATCAATGATGAGAAGTAACTATATTAGGGCTGCAAGATTAGGGATCGCAATCATATCAAACTTGCAATGGATTGAAATGGAATGGACACAGTCAGCACATTGCAAAGACTGTAATGTTTAAAATCTCATAATTTTCTCCACAAACAACAAAATATTATGATCTATTCTGCATAAAAACAGCTAACCCTGTCATTTAAATCTGCATATGTTCTGAATGTGATTTTTAAAATGTTTGTCATTTCAGTATTTTTGTCAGTTAGTTTTGGCACGTACAAAATGTGAACTTGAAACTTATTAAAACATAAATAACAAATTTAATCGCAACTGCTATCCAAGCCATTCAGCCCTAAAATACTTGTACCAAAAATACACATTCAGAATACACATTTTGAGCAACTGTATTCTGGTATTTTGTTGTAAGTGTATACACTAATGGTATACACTTTGTTTCCTAAAATCTAAAGAATACATTGCAGTATTTGATAAAGCAATTTAGGGTTCCAATTGATACTTTACAGTGACATTATGGTGGGGGTGTTCTATATGTATCTCTATTCATGGAATATTCAGCACTTACAATGGTGACACATTGCACATATTAGCAAACACTGACAAAAAAAAATGTGATGCCTGAGCCTGTGATCAATATGAGTGCTCATGGTCCTGTTTAGGTGTTTGATTTTCAACAAAAAACTGAGAGTGACTAACAGAAAAACAGTTGACTACTGCCAGCTAGCTTGTGACTGTAATGCAATGTGTAAGAGACTTGTTTAACAGCACAAATCAGCTTCCCTGTTGTAGTTCCAACCAAGTCAGCTCTTTCTGGTCAGATTGTGTTAAAATAAAGCTCAGACTAAAGTCTAACTTGAGTAACAGAACTTCTAACAGAGTAGTGCTTTCAGTTAGCTTCACACCCCCAGGAATGTTAATAACATCAGCTGCAAAGTATCAATTGCATGCTATTAGAGAGAGTGTTACTATGGTGAATTTTTCCTTCACTAACAGGTGATAAATAAATGCATTACAAACAGTGCAGGAAATACTGCACACATATTTTTAAACATATTTTGCATTTTTCACACTAAAATATAATGTTCAATATGAACGGAATATAAAATACAAATGACTTTCAAATGCTATTCAGAAAAGTTAAAACTGAAAAGTGAATGAGTAATGAATCTGTTTTGTAATGACACTCAATGAAACACTGACATCTAGTGGCATCATCCTAAAACAGCAACGCTACGTTACACAATTCATTTTAACAGCTTTTTTTTTTTTTTTTTTTTTTAAAGATCACCCTTCCCATTTGGGAGCCAGTGGTGACAACGGCTTTATAATAATAGCACCTAAATAGTGTTTTTAATATTCTATAATTATCTAATTTAACTTCACCCATAAAATATTTCATATATTAATTCTGAAATTTTAGCATTTACAGCCCAGAAATGAGAGAAGAGCATACAGAATCATATGCATTTGAGTAGCCTATCTCGATGGAGATGTTATTACATTGCATGGAATGCTTCCAAGTACAGCATTAAATGTATCAATACCTAGAATTTATTCAATTACAAGTGTTTTTAATTGTTCATAAATACCTTGGAATAAACATGCATTCTTAATCCACACATCTGACATCACACGTATGAAACTTGTAATCTTGAACAATGTAGTAAGTAAGTAAGTTTTTATTTATATAGTGCTTTTCACTGACATATGTCACAAAGACGCTTTACACAGCATTATTCATTCACTTCATCCCTGGTGATGGTAAGCTACTATTGTAGTCACAGCTGCCCTGGGGCAGACTGATGGAAGTGTAGCTGCCAATCAGCACCATCAGCCCCTCCGACCACCACCATCACTCACACATACCCAACTTTCATACTACGCAATGTGGATGAAGTGCCTTGCCTAAGGACACAACAACAGTCTTTGCTACTGGCGCCTCACTGTGGCACCTGATTTTCCCAATGGTCTCCCATCCAAGTACTGATCAGGCCCGACCTTGCTTAGGTTCTGAGATCTGATGGGCTCAGGTTTTGGCAAGCCACTAATAACCAACCAAGTATCCTAAATGTAATTTTAAATATGTTGGGCTTTTGATGAGTCTTACCATCTTTGTCTGCATCTTTGGCCATCTGGATAAGCTCTCGTTTGGTTGGGTTGATTCCCATTAAACTCATGAGTCTCTCCAGCTCCTGAGTCTTCACGTCTCCGTTCCCCTCTTCATCAAACATCTCGAAGACTCCCTTATACTCAGTGATCTGCTCCTGTGTCAGCTGGGTGGCCTGGATCAAACGGTGTGCAAAATTACTAAAATTTAATTAAATTAGGATACTTTCACTGCTCGGTGTCTTGGGTTCAACTTCCCACCAAGACTACTTGCTGAATAAAGCACCAATAAAGCACTAGGGCTATAAAATAAAATAAAAAAGAATTTAAAAAAAAAGAATTTTGAGAATTTAAGACACAGTTGTTTCCAAAGTATAATGCATACATTTAAAGCCCCTGACCTGGTTTCAAATTTATACAAATTCAACAGGCTGATCACAGGTCGTCTAGTGTGTATCCTTGGGCATTTAACCATTTCACCCATTTTGCCTCCTGTGTATGCATGCACAGTTACAATGAATGGCTAATTTCCTTGATTAAATGAGGACAAAATCTAGGCTGAACCTGTACAAAATCAAAAATATATAACATTTTAAAAAATTAAATTATACTCACCATTTTGATGTGTGGACTGGACCAGAGCAGGAGAAGCTACTGAGAACATGTCTTTAGCTGAGCAGTTGTTCATATCATCTTTTCCCTAGAGCTGAGGGTGGTCTGGCTGCATCTCAACCTTTTATGGACTTTTGGGAGTGGTCCTGTGCTCCAACTGTCTC